GTGTGTAGTGTTTAAAATAAACTCAATGCTGTCGGTACCCTCATTGCTCTACGCAGTTGGCCTCATTCTGGCCCACATAAAGTCCCTTTTATGTGTTGCTCTAGCACTGGCACCGATTTGTTATTTGTTTGTGTGTTTGTTATTGGTTGAATGAGCTTTGTGTTGGCCAGCATATGGAGGGGAAGCATGAACTAGTGAATGGAAAATCCCCACAGCCTAACAAGCTTTGGGCTCAGGGACAGGCCGATCCAGACCCTGATCTTGACTCCTTCTCAGTCAGCTGGGCCTCTTTCTACTACTGGAGAGGAAACACAGATCACAGAGACAGTTTCCAAGATGAATCATTCTGGAAAAACGCTGCTTGTGAAAGAAAAGAACTCACAAGTTATGAAAGTATGAAAGGCCTTACCGAAAAGGAGAATGTGTCTTAAAACATTACACCCAAAACAGCACATAATTAGAAAGTGCCAGTCCCCCTTTCATCAGTGTGCCCCCCGTGGCCCTCACCCTTTCCCCAGCTCTCCCTCCAGGTGGCCGTGCCACAGTTCAGATCAGGCTTCGCACGTGACGCTGCTTACAACACCGCGGCTCAGCCTGCTTTGTAGGAGGCCACAGCCGATTTGTGTGATCCAAACAATGGCCTTAGTTCTCTTGTCACCCCCCACCTCCCCTCCCTCACCATCCCCTCTGGAAAAGTACATGTGATCTACCTCTGTGTGTAGCAGCTTAAAGACTCCACACATACGAGGTGTCTGAAATCCAGCATGCCACAATCTTGTTTTGATTGATGCTTAGAGAATAAAAGCTTTCTTTGGCTCTAATGGTGACTCTGTCGTCTGCAGTAAAGTATCCATCAGGTGATAATATTGCTTCTGTATAGGTTTTTGCCTAAAAAAAAACATGCTTGCACTGCAATTGTGATCTGTTTATCTGTTTGTACATCTTCTGACATTTGTGTTGAGTCAGACAAACTTATGGAAGAAGTGAAATCTGTCCTGGTATCTGCTGACGTCTCTATGACGTCTGAAGCAGAGAAGTGAAGGCTTGGAAGGATCTTAAGTTCTCCATAGGAAAAGAATAGTCAAATCACCAGCCTCAGTTTTCACCCACTGGCACTGTTACAAGGATAGCCTGTATGGGTCCTTGATGGACACACCAGGAGAACTTTCCTTTTCCTTGGGTGCCCTAATTGAGCTACAGAACAGTTGTTGAGAATAGTTGAAGCTGTACCAGCCAGCGTTTGTGGATCTTTCACCGAACTATTCAACGAGCTGGGTAGAGAAATAGAGCAAATATAAACTTCTCAAAGAGAAAAAAAAACTTTGGGCCTTCTAACCTGGCTCACTCACAGTAGAGGAATGTTGAATAAAAGACCCTGTTTAATTCAAATTAGCAATGCCTTTTCCACTGCAGCCCCACTGGCTGCTGCCAGCTCGCACAAGAATGAAGCCTTGTGGGGCTCTGTCCACTTCCTGTGGATGAGGTGTTCCACTTGGTCTTCTCTGTCTACTCTCTGCCTCTCTCACTTTCTCCTGCTCTGTTTCTTACTGCGGCCATTTTCCACATGTTGCCCTCTCACTTATACACTTATTGTAAATGGGTCAACAGATGTTGGAGGAAAAATGATGGGAGGAGATAAAGACAGAGAGAGTGTGCAAAGGAAGAGGAGGAGGAGGAGGAGGAAGCACAGCCAGCAGTGTGACTTTCCACAGATGAACCCTGTAGGGGTTTCAAATAAAGTTCATGCATTCAAAAAGAAAAAAGAAAGAAAGGAAGGAAGTTAAGAACAGACAATAAGTAGACAAATGATCTACTGTTATGAATCATATCATTATTTCTATTTGCTAAATATGAAAGTAGAGAGAGCAGGTAATAAGCTTAGCTTTGCCAGAGGGGAAACAGCTAGCCTGACTCTCACCAAGGTTCAGAAATGTGCCGACCAACACTTCAAAATCTCACTAATTAACATGCTTTATGTTGTTTCTTTCCATTTGCCATTTAGACCACTGGCCGACTGCAGGTACTTCCTCAAGCCTTGCTGTCATTGCTAAGTTGCCAGGCAACTGTTGCCAAGAAATAGTTACAGCATGTAACCTCGCATAAAACCAGAAATTATTGTTCTTACTTCTGCATTCTTCTCTACGCATATGGTTTCACATGACTACTATATATATATTATGCGTAATACCTTTTTAAACACATAAATGTTGTCAAAACAGCTACTGTACACAGTTATCATTGTTAATTATTGTTTTTTGTTACAATTATAGTGACAAAATCCAGTCACTGCTTCTGATGGGTATATTGTTCATCTGTCCTGTCACAGCTAATACTGTAGACTTGGACAGTGGTGGCAGCAGGTTGGAGATACAGGACGGAGTTGTGGCCAACACAGAGTTGGAGGTTTGTGGTTAAAAGACTGGCCAGAATCACAAGGAGGGAAATGTCATCCAAGAAAAAGAGTTCAGTAATAAGGTCATTAAGGAGAAAAGCTCCTGCTGCTTGTCCGATGGTTTTAGGAGTGCATCCACTTCTATATCCAGTTTAGGCTGTAAAGATTTACTGCAGTGTCTTGGAGGGAGTAGTTTTGGCCAAACTCATATTCACCCAAGATGAATATGTTTTCTTTCCCAGGAATCTCAAAGTCCTCTCTTAGCAAATACCAGGCCTGCATGCCGCTACACTGGTGTGCTCATTGTCAGTGTTTTTAGATGGATGTGTGTACAGTGTAGATATAGCGAAGGTAGTCATTTGGCTAGGCCCAGTTAGGGTAATGGTGTGTTTGTAATTCCTGCTAGTTTTCTCTACTGGCCATCATTTGCTGCCACAGTGGTTCTTTGAATCTCTGCCTTGTGGTTCTGCCTGCTAAGTTGGCAAGAAGAAAAGATGAATGTAAATCCATGACAGATGAGAAGGGGAAGGCAGAAGTATTGGGAAACAAAGTAAAGGAACAAAACGACTGTAAAAGAGGGGAATAAACATGTATTTTTGAACAAATCATTTTAGAATGAGGCGTTTTGTCTGATACATTGACATGAATTTGTCTGAATTTGTTATGACTAGTTTGACACATGCTGACAGGGGTGGTACAGGAAGAGGACCTTACATAAATATGGTTTCCCAATATGTAAAAATTCAAAGTTCTCTTTTTTTTCCCAAAATTACATTACAGCTCTATTTTCCGCAAAGTGCAAGTGTGTGATTGATCAATCTCTCTGCCGAGTCAGACAGATTCTGATTTATTTACTAAGTGAAGGTTTAAGCAATTGTCTTACTCATTAAATGTGTGTCTGGACTGTGAAGAACCTGAATGTGATGCTTATAGAATAAGCAATGGTTTATCCAAAGATTTAAAAAATTGCAATCCAAAAGTATTCAATTGTGAAGTGGTTAGTTGTTGGGGATTAGTTTTTTTAGGTTAACTAAATCAACCACAATGCACTCTACCTGCGGGCTGCAGGTTGCTAATCAAAGTTTCATGCCGTTGCCAAGAAAATGATCTCCTGCTGTTTGGCCATTTATTTTTTACACATAGCTATATCTTTACCTTCAGGAGATGTCTACTACGTACATTTACATACAGCAGCAATACACGCAGTATAAAGCACAACACGATTCAGAAACGCTTTTCTCCTTTTCAACTAACACCATGACGACCAACCAACCAACCACAAGGTATCAGCCCTTTGCCTGTCTGTTGTGTATTTCCCTGATGTGCTTAGAACAGGAGAGTTTGTTCCTCTGTTGATCAGGAATGGTTTAAGACCTTGAGCATCTTTGTTTGCCATTGATTTTAAATAAGGTTGTGCATGAGTAATCTTTGGAGGCCAGTCTTCATCTCACCTATTTGTATTCTTAGCCAGATTGTTTGCTGGTTACATCAGGTTACTTCTGGATCTGGGCGTATAATGCTTTATGATGATACCCATCAAATATGAAAAAACGAATACAGAAAGCTCGATGTGCACTCACTGGGGGAGACGATAGAGAAACATTTCTGTGTTACTCCAGTCTGACAAATATGTTGTCAGCCACATAGACTGCCCGCTGTCTGTCAGAAAGTCTGTCACCCACTGGCAGAATGAAAGGGCAATGTTTTATAAAGATTGATTCTAAAGCATTTCTACTTTACTGAACAGTTTATAGTCAAGGCAAAATGGATGGAAGAGACAAAGAGAGAAAGCATATGACAAAGATTCCAAGGCAAGATCAATCTTAGGAAATCATAGCTACACAATAACGTAGTGTATGTGCCCTCACGGCTCCAAGCAAACCCTCTTGCAGCAGGGTGTGTGGAGAGGCAGAGCTGGAGCTGTGTTCATAGATAAGCTGGTATACTGCAATTGTGGTATCCATTTTGGAATGACACATTGCACTTGTGTTTCTGCCTGCTGAGAATGGTTGTTATTGGAAACCCAAGCAGAAAGAACAGTTTTAGTGACTTTAGTTGAGTCGTGCACAGACCTCTCTAAAATCCAACAAAGTAATATGTTGAGTTTTCATCTTTTCATCTTACTTTGATATACAACTTTAATCTAGTACACGTTCAATATACATCAGATGAAAATTAATAATGGAACTGAGAAAGATTTTGGTTATATTAATGGTTTCATTATAATTTTATCCACAATATTATAAGATGTCTATGGTCTTTCTGTTTCATTTAGTTAAATATATGTACCTAGCCATTTTCAGGAGTGATCGTCTCAGTCATGTCTAAACAGCATGTGTAAAGTTAATAAATTATTACATTATCAATTAATGGGAAACAATTTACAGAAGTAGAACTAAAGCTGTTTCTTGTGAAAAAGTGACCACATTTATTTAGAAGAAAATTATTGTTCATGAACTCAGTGGAGGTGGAATTTTAAAAGATACAGAATAGCAAAACAGACATTTATTAATTTACACAAAAGATTATCCAACAAAATGGCTGCAGAAAACACTCTCTAGAAATACCATTCTCTTATGTTGACCTTGTTGGTGTTTATCTTCCTCAGGTCCATACAGCAGCATATCACGGTGCCCTCCCAATGAGTACCAGTGTGGAGGAACAGAACTCTGCATCCACATGAGCAAACTGTGCAACGGAGCTCCAGACTGTACTGACGGCTGGGATGAGGGACCACACTGCAGAGGTATCACTGTCACACACATTGTCAACATACAAGGACACATGCACTTTTGCGATATGCAATATGAATGCGTGTGGGTTAACAATACGATTCCTGTGCTAGTACATTTTGTCTCTGTGAGAGAAATGGGAGTAGGGAGTCTGACTGGGTTTTGTTGTTATATTTGTCGCTTACTTATCGTACAGTTCTCAACCCTGAATTCTTAACACTGTGAAGCATCAGTGAAGTCACAGTCACGGATTGATTTTCAGTGTGAAAATATTGGATTTGGCTGTGTTAAAACATGCTGTATGTGTTATCATCAAGCCGCAGTTCCGTGTTCTATGTGGAGACGCATCCGACATCCTGTACCTACAAATATGTGGAGCAAGACAGCCGCTAATTCATTCGTTACCGCATTAATTTGGGAAGTTCATGTGTTCATGTCATTCAGTCATGCTGCTGAAACCAGAAACCAGGAAGCAATTTTTTGATGATGCTGAAGAATAAAGTGCTCTTTAAAAGAATGTGCTGATCTAGTTAACCTCATGGAGAGAAAATAGAACTTGATTGTGCAAAAGACCGATATATCTTCCTTAGATAGATGAATTATGGCAGAAAGGCTGGAACGGAACTTAAACAGAGCCGAGGACTTCCTCTATTGCATGTCATGTCAAAAGTGTTGCAGAGGGAAAAACCTGATGATAGACAATGAAATACTAAGCTACATTGTATCTCAAATTTGGTCTAAATCCTAACACAGATCATATAAATATTAAACTACCCAGCAGCCATAATTACTTCTGCATCATTAATATATACTCTACTACACTACACTATTTCTACTGTATTCCTGATAGATTTCCATTTTGCTTGATACATGCCAAAACTGCCTTTCGCATCTCCAACCCGTACAAAATGCAACAACTAAGAATCTTACTGAACCTTAACAAAAGATTTAATTATTATTCTGTCCCGATTCTCTGAAAATTTGATCGACACAGTGTGGGCACCTGTCCTTTCTAGATTTTTTTTTTTCATCTCCCCACTACGCCTTCAGATATAAAATGAGCTGGGATTAAATATTTATTAAAGAAACATTAGAGAGAGGCATGGGAATGAACATAAAAATTTCATGCACTTTCAGGCTGGCTGGAGTTGGAGTTGAGAGTGAAAGTCCACCTGTGGGGACGCACCAACTTTATGAGTGTATATATATATATATATATATGCGTGTGTCTGTAATATATCTTTTAGTGTCCCAGTCAGGCGTCATCTGACTGACATGAGTAGTTTTAATTCTGAACCAAAACAGAGCATTTTATGTGCTCCAAAAGGATTATTTTGCTGTACTGTATGTGTCACGGTAGGTTGTTTACATTGTTGCCCATGTTGGTTTTCTAAACACATCTCAGTCATTCGGTGCCCAGGCTTGTTTTGGAAAATTCCGGGCATGTCTGTAATTTGAACTGTGGTCGTCCCAGCCAGCCTCTGGAGTACAGCAGGGAGACTTGTGTACTTGTTTATATTATTCAATGCATTGTATGGGGATTGCCAGCAGGGTGCTGGTTATATGGAGTCATTCATCATGTGTGTTTATTCTCATACAGAACAGATCACTTAAAAGTACTGTGGTAAGAGCTACAAATGCACAAACTTGAGAGAAAGCTGCTGATTTGCGTGGTTTACTTTTTTCTCACTCAGCAGTTATAGTTGTTCAGGTTCAAGTTTGACTTTATTATTGATTTAAGGAATTCATTTGGCCAGTACTGCAGAAATACAGTATGGGCAGCACAGTATGGCAGCACATCTGTAGGGCTTTGGTTTCTTTTAACCTGAATGTGGTGAGAGTCTTGATCCTCTCTCCCCGGAGATGTTGTGTTAGTGTGAATTGTCTGCTAGTGTTTCTGGGCAAAGTGAATCACTTGTGACTGATAGATCTCAGCCTGGTTTGACATGACTGTGTCTGTTTGACTGTGACTCACTGGGTCCTCATTTATATCTCACAGGATATGCAGCGCACGGTTGAAAACTCTGCTGAAATTCCATTATGCGTCGTCAGCTGACTGGAAGGTGTGATTGTAGCGTGCGGTATTTGTGCCCTTCTATATTTGATGTGTGTGTAGCCTTGGAGATAGCGGAGGTTAGCAGGGAGGTATTGATTGTGTGTGCATGGTAGATGTATTTGTTGATTTTGTCTCTGGCCTTCCATTTACAGACTTCCTATCTAATATTTGTTTTACTTTAAGGAGCAATCCACATTGACGTTACTTCAAAGCTCGAAAGAATTGGATTTGTCGTTACCAGTGAATGTGAATATCACATTTTGATGTGACTAATTCAGAATCCAATACAAGGGTTACCTGAAGTTTGGACCATGAGGAACAAAAAAAAATGTCTATTAATGAGCATTAAAGTCATATTAACATCTTAATCCACAACATGGATTTGAGGTTGATTATATGTACTTGCACCTCTGTGTCCATATCACATATTTTGTTAGTTTGTACAGTAGCAGCAGTATATCCTGCCAACAATAATGTTATTAATGGGTGTGATGATAAAGAGTTGTTCTGGAGAACTCCTGTATATATCCAGAACTGTCGACGGTGGAACCACATTCAGAACCAGTGAACTCAGATTCATGGTGAGGCACAGCTTGATAAGCTCTAATAGTAGCAATAGATCACATTAATGCTGCTCAGCTGTGACCAAAACAAACATTTAAACAGAGAGGTAAACAGAGAAATAACAATTCATCTTTGAAAAAATACAGCAAAAGTGGAAAATAACAATAAAATCACTCTACATTATGTACTAAAATCCCCCAAAGCTTGATCTTCTCATTCTGTGTCTGTGCTGCTTTTGTACTGAGCTTTTGTTCACTTATGATCCACTTGTTGACTTGAGTGGGTTTTCCATTTCTGAATTCATCACTCTCATCGGTGACGCATTCTGGTTGAATAGATGTGTTTTTTTGTTTTCAGGGACAGATCCAGGCACTGTTTGTGAGAGGCTGTCAGTTTCTGAACTGCTCAACAACACTTAGTGTAGATCACGTCTCTTGCAAGCTCTAATACTGATGCTGAGCTGATGGTTAAGTAAGCTGACCACTTATTATTTATATGTGCCTCACTGTCAAGAGGAGGCCTCAGAGAGTATAGTTCAACAATTAAGCCACGCGCATCAAGTATTTATGCACTTCATCACCCTGATGAGGTGTAATTATTCCCCAGAAAGTATACAATGACAGCTGTAGCAGCAGCACCTGCTCCTGTTACCTACAGGCATGCCTCTCACCATGTCTCCTGCTAGAAAGCACCTGGCAGGATGAATGAAATAAGTGATCAGAGTATAATCTGCGGGTTTGTAGTGGTATGTTGAATGGATCATTACATAATAATGCACAAATCCACCGTCTATTTGAAACACTGATGCTGGTGTTTTCAGCCCAATAACAATGTCAGTAACAGGAAAGAAACATGAGTCAACACCTTAAACCGTTTATATAACGTCTGTCGCATACCTGCACACATTACAAAAACTCATTCCTGTCATTTCCCCCCCAGAGTTTATGTCCAACTGCTCGCTCACGGGATGTCAGGAAAACTGTGCGGTGACTCCAGCAGGGACTGCTTGTTACTGTAAGAGTGGTTTTGAGATCAGCCCAGATGGAAAGACATGCAAAGGTGAGTTCCTCTAAACAGCCGTCTGGCCCTACTTGATACCTGCGGTTAAGTATGTGTGAGTATTTAATCAATAAGCCTGGAAAAAGAATCGATTTTTGTTATATATTCCTGTTATATTCCTGCATGAAGAGGCCAACAGCACGCATATGTGCATATGACAGGTTGAGAGTACTGCTGAATATCCATAATATTTTGTTTGCTATGTTGCATCAATACGCTTACGTGGCTCATGTGCTTACCTGTCCGGTAATTCCACATCAGTGCTGAAGTTCTTTCAGCTGCACCAGTGTTTACTCAGCTTTTAGAGAAACCCAAGTGCAGACCACACATTGGGTAGCTCAGCGGGTCTGGGAGTGTGGAGCATTTCCCATGAAACGCTGTTTAGAAACCTTGATTGGGATTGATGAGCAACACTTGTAAACCTCACTGGTATAAAGGTTTGCACGATGTTTGGCTGGCAAAAAAAAAAAGAAAGAACAGGAAACACAGAATTGTTAAAAACCTATAGTTATTAGTTACACCTGAGCAATAAAACCAACTGTGGTTTCTGTGCTTCAGATTTTGATGAGTGCAGTGTGTACGGGACCTGCAGTCAGTCCTGTACCAACACTGAAGGCGGCTACACCTGCTCCTGTGTGGAGGGCTACTTGTCCCAGCCAGACAACCGCTCGTGCAAGGCCAAGAATGGTAAGTACCTGCAGACAGCAGCAGGACTGAATGCAAACCAGTATGACTAAACTGTGGGGATGTTCTGTTCATGTTCCTCCTGTTCACCGTTAGTTATGTCCATGTTACGTCCCAGTGCCAGTAGACCGTCTGCCTGTCCTGTTGATCGCCAACTCCCAGAACATCCAAGCCACCTCCCTGAGCGGCAACACAGTCCACAGCCTGCTGTCCACCAGCACCAAACAGACCACAGCCATGGACTTCCTCTACGCAGAGGAGACCGTTTGCTGGATCCACGTGGGAGACTCCCCCTCATCCACACACCTCAAATGTGCCAAGATCCCCAATCTGAAGAGCTTCACGGAGGAGAGAGTCATCAATATCTCCCTCAGTCTGCACCGTGAGTACACCACAGCAGTACTAACTTCACCTTGGTACATTTAAACCACAGTGCAGTGTTCTACTGTGTTTAGAAGACAACAGTACAGACATCTGCACAGGCAGCACACAGCAGCTACACAGCAGAATCGTACAACCCAGTTCTCAACACATAATACATAATACAACAGCAGAAAAAGTTGCCTCACACTGCAACAAGTATGTGTATTATTGTATGTGTGTGTGTGTGTGTGTGTGTGTGTGTGTGTGTGTGTGTGTGTGTGATTTTTTAGGATATTTTGTTCCTGCAGGCCACGTATAAGGTGGATTTTCTCTGCAAATTTCAATAGCTCAAGTGGTAAGACCTGTGACAGAAGAAAGTCAGGAGGGAAACACTGCACACTGCCACACAGCGATCTGTCAAACATCTCATGATTTTTTCAACCCAAATTTTCTAGGTCTGGTCTGAGGGGTTTGCTATTGTAGTTATTCCACACAGCAAAAAACACAGAGCTGCTCCACAGTGAGCCTTGTCCCAATGTGATGTGTATTTGCCCATTTGGATCCTGGCTAAAATGAAGCATAGAAGTGATGCATTCAGTACAGTACAGAACAATGCAAGAAGAAAATACATTAAAAAGTGGCGTAGCAGATACCCATTTTGCACACGGCTCCTGCAGCAGGTGGACACTGAAACTATTAAATAAGCTCAGCTTAGCCTGGTAGAGATACAGTAACAGCACATTAAATCAAATCTTTTCAGCTCTGCTTTCAGTCCTGTTGCTATCTGGAAATGAATGCAACTGAAATCAGATCAGATTCGTCTAAAGCCCAGTTAAGACCAAAGATTCACAATGAGACAAACAGTTTTAGAACGTTGCAGGGAAATGTTGCAGTGGTGTGAACTGATGGTCTCAGCTCTACTCAAGCTGGCTGATGGCGTTGCGTACAACTCAGTTTGTCAAATCTGCAGTGGCTGGTTTTAGAATGTAAGGCACGTCAGAGGTTTCAACAGCCAGTTATATCGTTGCAAAGTCAGCTGGTTGAAGTGAGTTTTGGATGGGCGTAAGAAAGGATCATGTCATCGGTAAAGCTGACACAGACCTTAAAATGTACCCGTGGACGGCTCTAAATTCTCAACCTTCTCATTTTATTGACAGTTTTTATTATTTCATCAGCAACTGTAGCAAGTAACTCACTATCATTATCCTCGTTTCATATTTCAGGATGCTACAAATGATATCCAGTTACAAAAATGCCTGAACAGCCTGCAGTTCGAACAGAAGAGAGTCGATATGAAAATGATACTCAGTCTCGTCTAGTTGCATTGGTGTGAACCGGCGGGGTTTCAGAATGTTGCAGACCGGCGCGTTGCAAGTAGTTGCAAGTTTCAACTTGTCTCGTTGTGAATCTTTGATCTGAACTGGGCTTAAAGAATCAGAATCACCCCTGCTTTTAGCCTTCCAAGGTCCCTATCAGATAAGTACAGTAAAACCTTTGGCAAAAGGCCTCGTCTGATCTTCACTTTAAATTATTATTTTTGTCTGGTTTGCATCCTTTGCAGATGGCAATTTGGCTGTCTAAAGAGTGAACTGAGCATCAATACCTGTGGAATAGTATAAAACGTGTCCTTAGCTCCTCTGTGCCTGTGCACGTCCTGTGAGTCAGAGATATTGTGGCAGCACATTAAAAGCAGCTGTGTTTTTCCATGGCTTAAGTTTCGTTTTAGAAAACACTCAGAAATGAAACTGAAGGACAGACCGTGGAGATCTAAGGAACGTGATTAAATGTAGGTGTGTGTATGTGCATGCTCCTGAGTGTAGACAACGTGCAGGTCAAAAGCCTCCACACCCTCATCCCTTTCCCCCTCCCTCCCTTTATCACCTCTTCCAAGTTCCTGGCTGTGTTATGGCCTGGCTTTTGTGCAGCTTGTCTTTACTGTGAATCAGAGAGAAAGCAGCCACAGGAGCAGCACGTTTATCCACACAAAGCCAACAGGAATGTGTCATTATACTGTTAGGAAGTCAGTTGATAGATGGATTGTAACTATCTGCACTGTCATACTGCAAACATTAATTAAAAACATTGCATTTCTCACTCACCTAGTAATTCATATAATATATATGTATATTCTCTGCACTGTCCTTCCCTGGTTCTCACCGCAATTAACTCCACATCTGATCTGTATACATGACTTTGGGTATAATGCATAAATACTGTAATTGTATGGAATCATATAGCTCTGATTTATTTCTCTCATTCCTCTTTCTCTGGTTTTGTTTTACTTGCATGCAAGCATTGTGACCGATCACATCCACTCAGTGTGCAGCGGCTTGTCTCCGTTCACATCCCTTTTCCATGTGACTAGAGAACGCATTAACTTGACAGAAATGACTTTCTCAGTGCAGACCATCATAGAAAATGAAAAGACCAAATGATGACAGTCTGACAGCTCTGTCCTCCGCATGCAAGCACAATGTGGTGTAGCTGTCATTTGGAAATATGTTCATTTCAAACCATATGATATCAGACAAGCTCTGGGCAATGAAAATTATGCATGAGGTATTTTAGTGTCCTTCACATTAATAGATAAGGATCAAGCTTGATGCACCTCTCTGTCTGTTTTGCATTATACAATACATCACTGATTGATTTGAGGCTCATGCAGGAAAGACATCATAACACAAATTACTTAAGAGTGCCACGTCGTGATTTCCTATTAGAAAAAAACATGTATTTGTGCCTAATAATTATGATCAGAGTAATTAAAAGAACAAGGTTTATCTTTGTTGCTGTCATCATGCAGCGTTCACCAGAATCTCAGCACACGTTGGACCCGACAATTTAAGGACCAGAAGAATTTGCAGGAAATTCCAGCAGCTTCAGCTGGGTTCTCCACGGCTGCCCCTCCACCCCCCCACACACACATACACACACCCACACACATTGCAGCACTCGTGGTGTGCAGAGACATCCTGATGGACATGTGTGCGCGCACATAGACAAAATGGCGAACTTGTTGAATTTGAGGAGCGTGGACAGGATGTGCATGACTGATAGTGAAGGAATAAAGCTGTTTTACTGTGAAATAAGAAACAACTGAAGGGCACTTAACTGTATCCAAGTGACAATATTACTATTTTTATGTGTTTGCATGAGTGAGATGAGAAGACTGCTTATTTGCCATTTGTTGCCAGGTGCCAGGTATTTTGATTGTTAATGAGACAAATCAAATTGACAGAGAAAGTCTTGGTTGTTGTGTAACTGTTTTTCACAAAGCAACCATATGCCAGGTGCTGGATATGACAGAAAACATGTGGAAAAGTATACCTTTATAATTAAAATGACTTAGACAAACGATGTCTGGAATATCTAAAGGGCTGCATCCTCTGGCCACCCAGAGGAATCCGGACAGAATGCTTAGTGTCAGCACAAGAAATGTACAATACGAAAGGGCAGATCTTTCTCATCTGTTCGAGTCCATAATCTGGAGCGACTGCCTAGACAGCAGAGTTGGTCTTCTGGACAGGCTGCTGGCGTGTGAATGTGACAGAATAGGAGTAGCAGGTTTATGCTTACAGTCAACATGGAAGAAGCCAGCAGCAAGCAATGGCAGGGTGAACATAATAGAGAAAGTGATGCGTGTGTGGTTGGAGAGACTCATGACCTCAGTATGCCACAGATGAGTTGTCCAGATGTGTCTTTATTTGAATTAAACAGTTTAATTTTATATATATATATATATATATATGAAACACTGTGCTAGAGCTTAGATTTAATTCATTTGAGCATCCACTCCAATCTGTGCAATATTCATTTCAGCAATAGGAAAAAGTGACTCTGTACAAATAAATTAATTTGTTGAAATTAAAAAGATGTTGCCGCTAGATAAAAAGTTAAGGGATCACCAGAGTTGTTACACTCATCCTGAGGGAGACGAGAACGTCTGTACCACATTTCAATCCATCCGATAGTTATAATAATAATAATAATAATAATAATAATAATAATAATAATAACAACAACAATAATAATAATAATAATAATAATAATAATAATAGTGGATTTGACTAAAACTGACCTCATGGTGGTGCTAGAAAATTTCGCAGATCACCAAAGTCAGGATGTATCTCCTGAGAACCAGCAATGTAAGTACAGACTTCATGGTAATCTATCCAATACTTGTCAAGATGTTTCAGTTGGGACCAAAGTGGTGAACTGAGAGAGCATTCTCATCCACGAGGCTGCTAGCATGGCTAAATTCTGGATTAAAATCTTATGATAAAAATACCATTTACAGTGCAAATGCAATGCAAACATTGTTTTAAAATCTTAAATTTTGAGAGATAGCATCTAATTTACATTTGCAGACATCATCTCATTATTTTCTATGATGAGATGAGATGTGCTTGTCAGACATCATTCATTATATAGTGCAGTTAGGAGTGCATTATTGTAGCTGGAAAAAGCCTTTGAATACATATAGTCGGGCTGAAAATCAGTTGTTTCTAACATACGAGCGCTCTTCCAGTGAGAAACCTAGAAATGAAACTGAGATACATTTACATTCAGTAGTAGATGCTGATGCTCCACACACTATTCACAGGGGGGCTCATCCCAGAGCTGTCACTAAGCCTCCCTTCCCAGCTTGTACTGTAAGAGCTACAGTACTCCCACTGCTGCACAGTGAGCTGCAGTGTGCCGCTTAGCACAGACACTGGCCTGAAATCTCCTTAAGAGGTCATGTGCTGTTAAATGGCAAGCTAGTCAGCACTTTTTCAAATTCATTCAACACTTTATTCAGCTTTAACCCCCCCCCTCTCTCTCTCTCTCTCTCTCTCTCTCGCTCCCTTTTTACTCACACACATTCACTCTGAACCCATGAAATACATTTTAGTCTTCAGTCTTAATTCAACAAATTATCCATTTTCTTTCCCCTCTAGCTTTGTGTGGCTTCTGCATCCTAACAGAACCGCATTTAGAGGACAGTGTGGGATTTTTTTCTTGGTTGTTTTTTTCTCCCGCTGCCTGTGTGTTTCTGGTGTGACGCCTTCCCCAGATGCTTGAGGGAGTGTTTTGAAGTGTGGGAGGTTGGTGAGGGGAAGTGGGGGTTGGGGCATATGAGCGGTTGGTGTTAAAACTTCAATCACAGTTTAAAAGTGACAGTTTGGAGGTGTGAAACCCGTACGAGCTCCATTTAAAGTAATGCTACTGATATAACTACACTATTGATCCCCTGTGTTAGCGGCGTACACGCAGTGGGTGCGTTGCTCCACTTAGTGATACATTTCGAATACATTATGTAGACATGCAGTTGGCTGTTGTTTTTCTTCGACCAACAAGGAACAGAACATGAATAAGAAAACATGTAGAAAACAAGTTGTTTAGAGAGCGAGGGGAAGAAAAAAAAAATGAAGACAGCAGCCGGTTCTGTTTTTTCAATTATGCTGTGTTGTTTTTTATAGCATAGTTTTCAGACAGACAGAGCTGCAGTTAATGAATCCAGACTGTTTTTCCACCTCTAGGGAACAAAGGGGAGGGATAAGGGGATGATGCATGGAGAAGGAGAGAGCGAGGAGGAGAATGGGAGGAGATAGAAAAAGTCTCTGGCTTCGCTGGAGCCATTTCTGTTAAGCAGAAGTGGAGGAAAATGGTGAGCAGGCGGTGGACATTTTTCTTCAAGGCTTTCATTAAACTCTTCAAATATTGCACAATCTCCTCTTTTCTCCCCCCTTTGTTTATCCATTGCTTAATCAGTGAATCGGTGTGTTTTGGGGCAGCTGGAAGTGTTTGAACAGAGATCTCTGTGTTAAAAATTAAGAGCACCTTTGGGAATACAGCCCCTGATTCCAATAAACCTCAGAAATGCTGCTGCACAATGCCCAAGTTTCCTTAGTGGAAATCAGATCTCTCTCTCTCTCTCTTCTCTTCTCTGTTTCTCACTCACTCATTTCCCCTTCTTCAATCTGCATTTTTCTTTTTGTCTGTTTTCCACTTCTACTCAAACCCCAAAATATTTGACAGTGTCTCCCTCCCTTAGCTACTCAGGCAGTTTTTCTAAACACGGAGGTCTCCTCTGGAATTACAGTCTGATTTATTGGTCCAGAGCTGGTAAGCTTTGACTATACACACTTTTATTGAGCTCTTTTTCAGAGGAATCTGCTTTGTCATTTCCCCCACCCAAGCTTTACTTTCCTGGTTGGAGAAATCGATCCTTTGGTCTCCCCTAAATCACCACAGTGACCTGATCACCCTGGTAAACATACCACCATATTAGACCTCCACCCTTGGCACAGAGCGCTGCATGACCGAGGACTCCTACAGCACGACTTTAGCTCTATATCTGAGGTGTTTGTGTATGTGTGTGAGTCAGTGTGTGTGTGTTTAGTTCAGTGGAGAGCAGAGCTTGTGGCAGCTGTGAAAATACAAATCTTGTGGTTTGTCAAGCCCTCCTCCCCACTCTTTCTCTCACTCTCTCTCTCTCTCTCTCTCTCTCTCTCTAGCTGACTCATATGCAAGAGTATAGATTTCATTCCCTATGTTAAGATTAGTATGTAAAGGTACGACAGTCACTGCTGGAAGAAGTATTCAGATCCTTTGCTTATGTTAAAGTAGCAAAACCACAAAATAATATATGACCGTCTAATAAATCATGAAAAATGTTACTAGGTCCTGTGTGTAGGATTCAGTGACAGAGGTACAATGAGATATGCTGGACTTATTTTGGATTTGTAATTCTGGTTCATCAGAAATGACTGGAACACAACGTCAAATGAATGCTAATTTTATTCAATGTCTGCCGTGAAAACTGAAGCTGAGCAACTTGTCAACTTAAAAGGTGATAAAATGTTAGTGTTTTGTTCACAGCTTGTTATCAGTGCCCTCAGGTGGCCCAAGAATACTTGATTGCAGGTTCAGTGCATCTTTATCAAAGCACTAACTATGCATAATAAAATGACACCTGTCACTTTCATGTTATTATGTTATTTTATTATTATTACTAATGCATTGTGTTAGCAATTAATTAATTCATGTTGTAGCTGTTATTTCATGGAGCTAATTTTAACTATTTTATATACTGTTGGGTAGTTAAGTTTGCAAAGTAACAATAGTAACTGCTGCTGTAAACGGAAAAAAGTATATTTTTCTCGGAAATATAATGGTGTACAAATATAAAGTTGCATAAAATTAAATAAATGTAAATAAATTGCATCATCTCAGAGGTATACTTAAGAAGAGCACTGGAGTGCCAATCACTACAGTAAACTGGTCATTCTGGACCTTTAACATTGTCACATCCTCTTTCCTTCTGCTTTAACAATAGCTTTCTGTTTCTGATCCTTGGCTCAGACTCAGTGCGGCTGAGCTGGTGTTTGAGTAAAGGAAGGAAGAGGAGGGAATGAGGGAACCAGGGAGAGGGGTATATTAATGTCTCATGTTATTCTTTTTCACTATTTTTCTCCTTTCTCAGACCCTCCCTATGTGGTCTTGCACCACATTCAGAATTCAGTTTGGACAGAGCAGGGATATTCCATTTTTTCCTTTTCCAGGCTAGTCTCTGTTGAAATTCTGTAGGCTGTAAATCTTCCATAAAGTATGTGTGTGCTGTCATGTGCACACTTCTAGGTGTTTGACTTTCATCAATGGGTGGGGCACTGGTCTTCCCTGTTAGCTGAACCTCGGGAAAATAAGCGCAACAGAAAGCGCACACCCATCATCGTTTAGCTACAGCTACAGCATCCTCACGATCCTCGAGGCAACACACAGCATGTCACATATTCTGTCTGTCTGAGTGACTTTAAATGACAGATGACAGACGCACTACCTTGACACTTGCTAATTGGAGTTGGCTGTCATCTCATTTGTCAGTCAGGAAAACTGCCTCGAGTCCAAACCTGAAAATCTGGACAGTGTGTGTGAGTGTTGCAGAGTGAGAGTGTGAAATGTTGAAGTAGCTGCTACACAGTATGGCTGACTAATTTACTGCATCATATGACTATGAGTCAAACATATTCCCCATCTGCTGCAAGTATATACAACAACATCACATGCTCAAGTTGAATTCCAGTCAAGATGAATCAATTCCAGTTCTGAAAACAGTGTTTTTGCCCCCCCGCATGTCCCATGTCCCATCTCACCCCTCCTCACCCCTCCACCCTTTCTCTGTCCAGATGTGGAGCAGATGGCCATCGACTGGCTCACAGGAAACTTCTACTTTGTGGATGACGTGGACGACAGGATCTTCGTGTGTGACAAAGACGGGCAGACATGTGTCACCCTCCTGGACCAGGAGCTGTACAATCCTAAAGGCATCGCCCTGGACCCCACCATGGGGTCAGTTTGATCTCTTGCTTTCTGTCTCGTGCATAAGCACACATACAAATGCAAAGACAGGTACCATATGCGTGCTTCTAAATGTACATCATGCTGAGATCCTTCTCTAAGTGCTTCATGCAAACCCATAGTCCCATGAGAGTGACTGGAGTCAGACTTCTGTCCTCTCATGGTGTTACCCAACTTTGAAACTAAGAGTTTAAATGGGGGGGGGCTAAACGGAGGTTTGGACATTGGGGTAATTGAGTACAGATGTTATGTTTTCACTGTGGTATGCTGACTGTATAGGTTTCGAGTGTAAAAGCATGTTTTTGTTACTAGCTCTTTTGTTTATGGCCAGACTTTCCAACTGAATTCCTGAAAGTGTGTGTATATCTGTGGCACATGCTTGAGTGAGTGTATGTGTGTGTGAGCGCTTGTGTGGTTGGAAAAAAATTAGCAGCATGAATGTGAGAGCCTGTGTGTATATGTGCACACATTTGCTCGTAGCTACGCGCATTATTTTCATCCCACTCAATTTCCTTGGCTGTAATTGTTTTTTCCAGAAATAAGGTCAGGTAGATTCACTGTAGCTGGGGTTTTTGTTTTGTTGTTGTTGTGGTGGTCTGCAAGGGAGAAAAACAAGAATAACAAGAATAACAGCAATTCTTTTCTCAGCCTTTTCTGTGCTGTTAATTTAGGGACCACAAATCTGGCTGTTAACTGAGTTCACCCTAAAAAATTGAAAATTGACAAAAGACAACATCATTATGTTTCTACTTTCCTTCATTTACTACAACAGGATTTTGTGAGGTTTAGTTTAGACAGGGATATCCAGATATCTGATGAATAAAATTGTGTGGAATGTGTTTTTGAGCTTTTTTAAGACTTTTACAGGGACTGTGAGTATGATTTGTTATTTGTAGCTACAATAAGTCACAAATGTTGTTTTGGCTGCAGTGAAAAACTTAATAATGATTATGCTCTGAGATACTGTGTTTGGTTCTAAATCAGGTTATCAGTGGAAATGTGTTCCTCCAATACTACCTTCAGCCTACTGTCCTGTGAGTCTATTCAGAAAGAAATTCAAACGTTTTGGTCTTGAAATTGGCATAGGAGAGTTACTGAATACATGTATGGGACTTTTTGTCTGACCAAAAGTCCAAACCTTAAAGATATTTAACAAATAATTAGCATTATTACTTGAATTACTTTAATATAACAATTGATGTGGCTTGCTGTCTGCCATCAGGGTTGTGTCCTGCCTTTCTTCTTTTGTCTAATGAAAAACTAGATAATTATTGTCTCCCTGTGATGGAAATAAGGGCAATAAATCTATTATAACAAAGCCAGTTGGGCTAAAAAAGAAATTTCAGTTTAATCTATCCATCCATCTATCCTCAACTGGGCCTCATCCTTTGTTTTCCACAGTAAGGTATTCTTCACAGACTACGGTCAGATCCCTAAGGTGGAGCGCTGCGACATGGATGGCCAGAACCGAACCAAGCTTGTGGACAGTAAGATTGTATTCCCCCACGGCATCACACTGGACCTCGTCAGCAGGCTGGTGTACTGGGCCGATGCGTATCTGGACTACATTGAGGTGGTGGACTATGAAGGCAAGAACCGGCACACCATCATCCAAGGCCTGCTGGTGAGCACACCTGCACTGGACGCACCCCAGTCCCGTTATCTTCCTTTTGCAGGAAGATAATCTCTCTTAAATGTGCTGTCTTTGTGTATGCTATTCATAATTCTCTAAAAACTCTAGTGTACTTTAGAGTTTCCTCTATAGTATATCTAAAATGAACCGTATGTTTCTCCTGTGTATTCCTGTAATTTGCTCTAGACCAGTGAGTTATGAGCAGAGTGAAGCTGGTGGACAGTTACCTTTTCATTAAAGCAGCTGATTAATAGTGTCTAATACTGAGGCTGTTGATGTTGCAGCACTGATAAAGCACAGTGGCTCTTAAATGTGTTACTATGGCTTTTACAGTGATCTGTGGAGAAGTAATGGCTTTCATTTACTCACTGATCCTAAGGGCACAGACGTACACATACAAACCACAATCTCTCACTTCTCACTTGGTTTGTGTGTGTGTGTGTGTGTGTGTGTGTGTGTGTGTGTGTATGTGTGTGCACCTGTGACAGGACATTAGTACATGCACATCCTTCAGGTAAAGGTTAAACGGAAGTGTGTTATTAATGGTGCTGAGTTCGGGCTGTTTCATCAAGAGTGTATGTGTTTATTAAGGCTTGACATGTCCTCTAAAAGTGGTAATCTTGAAGATTTTAATTAAAATGATTGTTAAATCACTATATATTGCTGAATGGGGTAACACAATGGTTATTGAGCCACTGATGGGCTTGGGACTGAAACCCTTGCATTTGCAGTATTATAAACGGGTGTAGGTGGCAACATTGTTAGTGTCGCAGTTAGGCTGCGTTCACATTGTAGGCCCAAGTGACACAATCTGATTTTTTTGCTCACATGTGACTCAGATCAGATTTTTTTCATGACAGTGTGAATAGCACAAATCACATGGAATCAGATCTTTTCAATTCTGATTCGGGGCACTTTCGTAGGTGGTGACCTCAGTGTGAACGGTCAAAGCAGAATTCATGTAACTTTTAATTTAGGCTAATTGAGGCCCTTTTGACATATTCAGTTTTGATGTTGGCTCTGGGCAGTTACTGTTACTGTCGGTTTTCTTGGCTGGATGAGTAAAGGTGACATAGTGCACATTATGTTTCTTTACAGTCGGATACTAATAGGTGTCTAGTCACTGTATTACCTCAGCATAGCATTTCCCTTCAGTCTATAATAGTAACCCTTTTTATATATCTGACTTTCTGTGTCTCTCTATGGTCCAGTGAGCTCCACACAGCCTGCTGTGATAGACCACAATGACATGTTAGGTTTTATGCTGCTGCAGACATGGCCTCATGGGACACTGAGTCACTGACCTATGTCTGTTCAGATGTGAACAGCCTTGCTTCTCTTTCCTGATTTCCTCAGATGGACACTAGTTTGTCTGTGAGTTCAGAATGTTGAGAGCAGTGAAGCTTTCCCAATCCCTCTCAGTCACTGCTGCTAGACACTTCATCATCTTTATACTAATACCACCTGTGTCATGGCCATGGGAAATAGTAGTTTACGAGTTTACTAGGTGGCTTTTAAAATTGTTTAAGTGGACACCTCAAAAAAACATACAGGACACAGTTTAACCATTGTTCTACAACACAGCGCATGGTTTTCTGAACGTAACCATGGAAACAATACATGCTACATTAACAGTTAACAGATTCATTTTAAATAAAATCTAAGCATGAGAAAAAATGACATAAGAAAATATCCATGAGTAGTACTTTTAATATATACAGTAGCTATAACTATTAGTACTTACAGTAACTTACCTACAGCAATAATAGACTGTTTCTTGATATGGGAAATAATGGACTCACTGAAGTAAAATGCCACTCCATGTTGAATCATAGCATTCTTTGCATCCACTGTGGTTCATTATTTTCATATATTAGATCACATCATCGTTTGTTATTGCTTGCAAGTATATAAAACATTGAAAGGCCCTCTTTGCATAAAGTGCATAAAGTACTGTATGAAGGTAAGGCAGGAGTGTGCATCAATGAAGTTTCTGAAAAAATCTGTGGGAGGCTTTCACTTTTCATCAGACTCATATGTTTAGTTAATAAGTAGAACTATCCCCAACCTGCAACAAAGACGACATAGAATCTTCCAGAGTAAAACTAAAAAAAAAATATTTTTTAGTACTTTGGTTTCAATGCCATTTACTCTTTCCCTCAACCCTTCCCTCATATCCCCCACTTCCCCATTTTTCCTCTTTAAGATCGAGCACCTCTACGGGCTGACTGTGTTTGAAAACTATCTGTATGCCACCAACTCAGACAACGCTAACATGCAGCCTAAAACCAGTGTGATCAGGGTCAACCGCTTTAACAGCACCGACTACCAAGTCGTGACCAGGGTGGACAAGGGAGGAGCACTTCATGTCTACCACCAGAGACGTCAGCCTCCAGGTATACCACACACACACACACACACACACACACACACACAATCTCACATCTCATCTCTGAATACGTTTTTGATTCTTCTGTTTTTGTGACTTTATTTTCTGCCTTCTCGGTGTGCAGTTCGTAGCCATGCATGCGAGGTGGACCAGAATGGGAAGGCTGGTGGTTGCTCGGACATCTGTCTGCTGGGTAACGGCCACAAGACCCGAACCTGCCGCTGTCGCTCTGGGTTCAGCCTGGGCAGTGACGGAAAGTCCTGCAAAAGTGAGTAGGACTACTAGTGTAATGAGTGATTGACTTGTAACCCAGGGGGTTCTTCTGCAGTTGCCAGGGGGTATGTGGAAAGGCTGTGGACAACAAAAAAAAAAACATACATTCTGAGTCGGCTGTAAGGTGACTGGTGACCATTAGTTAGCAAGCAGAGAGATCTGAGGGGAAGTGAGCTAAAAGTAATAAAAATAAGTGTGCAACTAAAACCAATCAATAGATAGTACAATAGAAAAAGTAATGAATACATGGTAAATGGTAGCCTGATGGATAAACTGTAGCAATAAATGACTAAACAGTTACTGATCTAAAAGTAGCCTAATGGATACATTTATAAAATAGATTGCTGTTAGCTAAAAGACATAAATAAATGGTTGAAATAGTTAAAAGTAATTGGATAAATGGGAAAATAGCTCAAATTAACAGTTAACAAGTTAAAATAGTGAGCAAAACGTAGTTGAGTCGATAAATTGTTAAAATAGATAGCTGTTCACCAAAAATAATGGATAAATGGTTTTAAAAAGCGCACATTAGTGGTTCATCTATGAAAATAGATGACTAAAAGCAATGCATTAACTGAAAATAGCTCAATTAATGATAATGGATAAAATTATTAGCTAGTATTAGCCTATTGGATAAATGGTCAAAATATCCAGCTTTTTCTACTCCAAGCAGTACAATTCAAACTTGATCATACCAACCAAACACTGCCTGATGATTTGAAATATTTAATAAAATCCAGTTTGACATAAATGCAACTGAGCCCATTTGGAACTTGGCAGGCAGGATGTCAATACTTGAGCTCATCTAAAAGGGCTGCGGAGGTAAGTTTTACAAAAAGCGTTGGGAACCCTGGTGCACTGCATAGATTCAGCACATCCAGAGCTTATGTGTGCATGCTCCCAGCATAACTGTAAGTATAAACTCGGGAGCCGCAGTGATTCAGCTCTGTTGACCTAAAGCCAAGGGCAGCCAAGGTTGGATCAGGGATGTGGTTCTCCCCTGGGCTGTAGACTGGGAAATAGCTTTGAACAAAGTAGCTGAGCAACACCATAACTTAGTCTGACTCACTAGCTCTCCACTGACCTCCCCATAAAGCCGTCAGGCTGATTCAGCTTTTTCTGAGAAGTGTTTTAATATTCTATAAACCAATAATAACATTATATTGATCTTCCTCCCGAGAATAAACTGTCCTTGAAAATGACACAATTGATTTAACTAAAGGCAGCCCCTCCTCCTCTCCCTCTGCCTCTTAATTGAAAAACACTTTATTTTCATTTAGGGAATTTGCTGATCTCGCATTGTTATTTTCTTGTTTAATCAATACACCTTATTTGGGGAAAAAAGCTGTCATGAGTCAGCATCTAATTTTTTGATTCTTTGTCAACAGAAATCGTTTAAGAACAGTATATGGGCAGGTGAAAGAAGTTTAGAGTTAACATCCTCTGCTGAATAATGTACACATTAATCCAGGTCTAACCAACAGTCTTTTGTTTTTGTTTTGCTGCAGAACCTGAGCATGAGCTCTTCCTGGTCTATGGTAAAGGTCGCCCAGGGGTCATCAGGGGCATGGACATGAACGCCAAGGTGCCAGATGAGTACATGATCCCCATAGAGAATCTGATGAATCCCAGAGCTTTGGACTTTCATTCTGAGAGCGAGTTCATTTACTTTGCCGACGCGACCAGCTACATCATCGGGCGGCAGAAGATTGATGGAACGGAGAGGGATACCATTGTAAAGGAAGGTAGGAAATGACAGCTAATTTGCTACAGTATGTAGATAAAACATATAAAGGCTCAATAGGTCAATGTGATTTTGGGCTTGTGAAATGATTTAGTAGCATATGATTATAAACCTATAAACCTTCTTTAAATTTTCTAAATTAAATTTGTGCACAAAATTCCAGTACCAGTCAGGTTTGGACACACTTTCTCATTCAACTGAAAGAAAAAGTGTGTCCACATTTTTAACTGGTACCGTCTATTAAAGGTGAGGTTAGACAAGACGAGGTGACTCATCAATCTGCAACTTCACCATTATATGCCACTAAATCCTACACACTGGACCTTTAAGTTACAAATATGGATTTTGCCTGTAAAAGCAGGGCCAAAATTCCCACTTGAGTTTTTACACATGTTTAGAAGGGATGATAAACAACCATATGCTTTATTATTTCAAAATCTTACAACACAAATATATATTTTCTGTTTAACCTTTATGTGTCTAGGTTATCCCATTGAGAACAAGAATTTTGTTGCAATGGACTCCTTTATGAAAATTTAAATGGAAAACATAAAATTCTACACCATTTAAATACCCCAAAAAACATCCTTTTTTCAATGTACTGTATGCATCCAGTATAAAATTATGGTTGAAATCTAAAAATATTAGTAATTTATGAGAAGATGTTGCAGTCAGTAATGTTTTTATGCGTGTTGTAGCAATAGGCTTTTCACCAGCAGCATGTGTTTGTCTCAGGAATCCACACAGTGGAGGGCATAGCTGTGGACTGGATGGCTGATAACTTGTACTGGACAGATGACGGACCTAAGAAAACCATCAGTGTGGCTCGGCTGGAAAAGGCTTCACAGACCCGCAAAACCCTAATTGAGGGAAAAATGACTCACCCTCGTGCCATTGTAGTGGATCCTCTACACGGGTAAGGGGGAAAAAAGGTAGTGATGGAGTTTGATGGTTTTTGTTCTAGAGAAAAGTGATAAAGATCACTGAACAAGATTCAGGTGAATTCAATTCAGTTTTATTTGCATAGCACCAAGTCATAACAGAAGTTATCTCAGGACACTTTTCAAATGGAGCATGTCTAGACCGTTTACAAAGACCCAACAATTCCCGCCACGAGCAATCACTTGGCAACAGTGGCAAGGAAACACTTGAGCAGACCCCGGCTCCAGGAGGGCGGCCATCTGCCTCAACCTGGTTGGGGTTACAGAGAGAAAGACAGAGAGACAGAGATGCACAGCAATAACAATAGCAACAGTAACAACTACTGACTACCACTAATAATGATGAAGATGATAAGAGTTGCACAGCCTAGGTAGACCAGCAGCAGTTCAATTATGCCAACTTTGAGGTGTCTGAGGTGAAGTATGATACCTGCATGTCAGCGTGTGCTTATTTGTGGTCAGACACCATATGGTGAGATTTAATGATGGGTGGTAATTTCTTCTGGAGAGCTGTCTGACTCAGCTGGTCTGTCACTCACCTCTCAGCAAACTCATATCTCTGTCCACTCTCTTTTTGTCTCAGTTTCACTTATCTCTCGTGTCTGAGCTGTTTATTAGTTTTACTACTCACCACTTGTGAGGAGTGTTCCTGTTTTTTTCCCACTGTCTCTTGTCTGTGTTGCTTCACAATTTCCTGCAGGGAGCCTTTTATGTTTTTTTTTATCTGTGTTGTTGACCATTATCACCCTGAAATGTAACGTTCCTTCTGATTACACTTATCACACACTACTTATTAAAACAGATGGAGAATTTTGTGCATCAAATGACAGATTTCATCCACAAGCTCTTTAATTTACAGGCATGTCTCTCTTGCAGTCTTTCAAATAGCTCTTAATCTTACCGTGTATGGATGTGTCTTATTGATATAACTGGGCTCTCTCCTGAGAAACACACGCTCAGAAACACGCGCACACACACACTCTCTGGATTTCTAGTGACAGGGTGATTTGTGTCCACACACTTCCCAGGAGAAAGGCACTCAACTCCACTAATGCCTGTAATCAATCAGGTTCATAGAGAGAGAGAGAGGGAGGAGGAGGAGAAATTTGCAGAAAGGAAAAAAGAAGGAAATATGAAATGTTAATGCTAATGTCAGTCATATTCCAGCAAAGGGGATTGTGTCTAGTTTTGCACACTGCTGTAGACAGCCAGTGCCCACAGGCAGAACCTAGATCAGTGAAGCAGATTGACAGCTCCTAAAGTACCTGGTTTGCCTGTGGGCAGATCAACTGAGAAACACTGTGGACCCGCCTCACTGGATGCTCTGATGAGTGCTGTGCGCTTTAGGAGACCTAAATAAAATATCATTGCCAACAAATATTCTCCTTTCCACTATCACTTGTCATTCAATTCTTGTACCCGTGACAGTCCTCTTGTTGCTTCCTCAGGTGGATGTACTGGACAGACTGGGAGGAGGATCCTAAGGAGAGCAAGCGAGGCAAAATTGAGCGGGCTTGGATGGACGGCTCCAACAGAAATGTGTTTCTGACCAGCAAAACAGTGCTGTGGCCCAACGGTCTGAGTCTGGACATCCCACAGGGCATCCTCTACTGGGTGGACGCCTACTATGACCGCATTGAGATGGTCTACCTTAACAGCTCAGAGCGCAAGGTCAGTCAGACTGTGTCACAGGGATTAAGGAAGGAGATTATTCTGACTAGCTGTGAGTGAGCTAATGTGTTAAGGCAATGGAAGACTGTGGGTGGTCTGTCACATTGCGGTCCATAATCTGTGAGCTCGAGCCCTTTAAATACTACTTTCTGTTTGTGGCTGAATTGATGATATTTTGTTTTTACTGGTTATATTTTGGTTTCATGGTGTTATTTTTTGCATTTTAAATTTATAAGCCAGAAATTGGAATGTTATGGTTGATATAAAATGAATGAAATTTAAATATTTACTCACATATTCTGAATACCACCGAAGGGTGTATTTTAGGGCCACATACATTTATGATCAGTTTTTTCTTTTTTGTTCAATTCAAATGGTCTTAACAGAGTCTAGTGTTGGTATATACCAACCACATTTTCAGATTTGTTGCATAATAAACTCAATTGTTAACTAAGTAAATACAAAAAAGATCCATCAAGTTATATTTTATCTTCATCATAATATAATATGTTTTGAGCTGCAATTCTGGACACAGTGCTGAAGTCTGCTTTTTAAACTTTTCCATCTTGTTACTTTTCTCACATCACCAGCCGGTGTACGAAGGTCAGGAACTGAGCCACGCCTTTGGTCTGTGTCACTATAAACACTTCTTGTTCTGGAACGAGTATCGTAGTGGCAGCATTTACAAGTTGGACACCACCACTGGCGCTGCTACTCTGCTGCGCAACGAGAGACCGCCCATCTTTGAAATCCGCATGTACGACGCTCAGCAGCAGCAAGGTGCTTGGAAACACATCACAAACAGATTCTTCCTCTGTCAATTCAACCATCCATCCGTGTTAATCCAGAAATTAGGATTGTCAACAGTTACACAAGACATGATTTGTGCTACTTTGCGTTAACCCCTATTTATCTGCACGTTCGTGTTCATCTGCAGGCTCTAATGCGTGTCGTGTGTACAATGGTGGCTGCAGCAGTCTGTGTCTGGCCATACCAGAAGGCAGGCAGTGTGCCTGTGCAGACGACCAAATGCTAGATCCAGCTGACAACACCAGCTGCAAAGGTGAGTTCAAACATGAATGCCTTGTGTGTACGTGTGAGTGTGTGAGACTGAAGGGTATTTCTCATGGCACTCAGACCATACAAGGTTTTATTTCTGGTATGTTGGACAAGATGAGTCAAGCTTTGTGACTGTGACTGGGTGTTTTGCTGGAACTGCTTGACAAAAACAAATGCAGTCAAGGTGGCTGCAATAACAGAAACACCTGCCAATACAAACTCTCCAATAAATATTGCCTTTTTGATGTCTAGAATATTCAAGGTGTTTTTCTTATTTTGCCCACCACCAAGTGGGTCAAAATACAAATAAAATACAATCCAATACAAGAGCACCACAAACAAAATCAGCTCTGACACATTCTCCATGCAATTGAATGAAAAACCTTGCAAACGTTTTTATTGCAGGTCTATTGTACAAGTGTTCCTGTTATTTTTTTCCATTTTGATACAGTCTAGTTTGAGTGAGGGTATCTTGACTGATGTTTTTCTACTTTTCTTTTAATTGCACCTTTCCACAAACCCAGTCTGTTTTCCTTCTGTTGCAAAATTTGGTAATTCAAAACTGTACTTTGCTTTTATTTTCGTGTACTCAGTGACCTCTTTTTCACATTCCTTTAATTCTTCTTTTCCTCTACTTAATTTTCCACAGCCAACCCATCTTACGTACCCCCTCCTCAGTGCCAGCCCGGAGAGTTTGCTTGCAAGAACAACCGCTGCATCCAGGAGCGCTGGAAGTGTGATGGAGACAACGACTGTCTGGACAACAGCGACGAGGCTCCTGAGTTGTGCCGTGAGTTACTGCACACACACGCTCATACACACACACACACACACACACACACACACACACACACACACACACACACACACACAGCTAACCCTCCTGCTGGTACTGAGTCATATGACTTCCAGAGGTCTGAATTTGACAGACTGGTGATGCCAGAATGAAATGAGAGCGCAGACTCTGAATCTAGTGAGTATGGGTTTGTATGTAGGTTGTGTATTTGTGATTACATGATATGTGAGAGAGAGAGAGAGAGAGAGAGAGAGAGGTTGTGTGTGTGTGTGTGTGTGTGTGTGTGTGTGTGTGTGTGTGTGTGTGTGTGTGTGTGTTTGTGCAAAGAGGAATGTAGCAATGTCTGTGGATCTGGAAAAGCTCTCTGTCTGCTTGTCTGTCTGTCTGTGGTTGGAGTTGCAGACATGTTCCCGTCCCAGGCAAAATAAAAGCCCAAACAAAATAAGCTAAAATATTTGCTCTCTCTTTTACTCATTTGCACTTCACAACTCTCCACTCTTTCACCTTTCCACTCCCTGTATGCCTCTCGCGCCACATGGCTTCTCATTTTTTCTTTGTTTCCTTTTGGCCCTCCAATGTGTCCTTTTTTTCTCTCCAGACCAGCACACTTGCCCCACAGACAGATTTAAGTGCAAGAACAACCGATGCATTCCTCTACGCTGGCTGTGTGATGGCGACAATGACTGTGGGAACGACGAGGACGAATCCAACACCACCTGCTCAGGTACACAAACAAACATACCGAAATCTGAAATTGTGTGTTTTGGGGGTTTTTTTTGTCGTTCACCATGTAACATGAGCTCTACACTGTCATGTCTTTTAGCTCGTACCTGCCCACCTAATCAGTACTCGTGTGCTAGTGGCCGTTGCATCCCTATTTCCTGGACCTGTGACCTGGACGATGACTGTGGTGATCGCTCAGATGAACCTGCTTCCTGTGGTTGGTCAACTTATTCTCATAATATACAGTTGCTGTATAGCTGTCGGACATTTAAGTGTATTGTTTTTAGGAGGTATAAGCAGCAGCGTGTCTTAACTCTGGTTTTGTCCACAGCCTACCCCACATGTTTCCCCCTCACCCAGTTTACCTGCAACAACGGACGCTGCATCAACATAAACTGGCGCTGTGATAATGGTTAGTGTCTGTTCTTTATTCTCTCCTCTCTTTCTCCTGTGTGCCTGTTTACTTTAGCAACTCCTCTCTTTCCCTTTGTCACGGTGTGCTGTGCATGTTTTGCCACCAGCCCCATATTGGCTTATATTCTTCTTTTTGTCACCGTGTACATTTGTGCGTTTTTACCATTTTCTGTTCTGTCTGTTGTTGTTCTGTGTTGTTGGTTTTGTTGTTCCGTGTTGTGCCGTTCGCCCATTCTGCTGTCTTCCATTGGTTCTGTCTTTCAGAAAAGGATTGTGGGGACGGCTCTGATGAGTTGAATTGTCCAAACCTGACCGGTTAGTGCATAGATCAACATGCACCACAACAGCCATGACGCTAGCTTAGTTCTAGGACTGATCAAGCTGGCTCAGGAATACGTTAGGGCTGCTTTTCTGCTAATTGAACATGGCCACAAGCTGAGGCCTATACTGCTGCCATTAATTTGCTATAGTCTTCTGCACGCAGGTTTGAAGCTAAATTAGATTTGATACATTGTAAATGCATTATTCAGTCAACCAAGTACATGGGAAACTCAGAGTGTAGTTGTTGTGTTAGCAATCAAAGGAATGAAACTCAATTTAATTAGGTATAGATTTAATAGAAGGCCAGGTTGAATGATAAAAAATAGTTTAACCCATAAAATAGATTTTCTTCTTTCCCCGATGAGTATGAAATTAAACAGCACTAAAGGTTATACATTAGGAGTGCTCTTTTATATGAGTATGGGTATAAAAGTGCTTATGATGTTCTGCTGCCAAGCTCAATGTATCAGCACTCGGTACATTCCCTCATGGTGCATGGTCTGATCTATGCAGTTTCTGTCATTATTTACTCTCTCATCTCTCATGTTCTGTTTCATTTGTATTCCATGGTTTCCACTGCCAATGGGTTAACTGTGAAAAAAGGAAAGCAATTGCTTTCTGTATATATATACACACATATATACATACATATATATGTATGTATATATGTATGTATGTATGTATGTATGTGTATGTATATGTATACATGTATGTATATATATGTTCCCTTTGAGGCAGTGGGAGCCTCATACTGTGAGAGAGGAGGTGTTGTTTGACTGTGTTTGTTTTTCAGATAACGACTGCGGGGACAACAGTGATGAGGCAGGCTGTAGTCACTCCTGCTCCAGCGCTCAGTTCAAGTGTAACAGCGGCCGCTGCATCCCAGATTACTGGACCTGTGACGGGGATAATGACTGTGGGGACTACAGTGACGAAACCCACGCAAACTGTACAAATCAGGGTCAGTGTCTTAACTTACAGTTAGCAAAGTCTTCACTGCAGCAGACTGTAAGAAATAAGGCTTGAAGAAATTCTATATTTATTTATAAAGATCCTTATAAATGAGCCCACCGTGCTTGCAGCTAGGTTTTCCAATTTAACAAGCAACTTCATTTCAAAATTAAGCTGGTCATTTTTGGTCATTTTCACACCTTTTCTTATATCAATACATATGTTATCTACAAAAGCATGTCTTAATACTAATAAGTCTTTCTGCAGTTGCTTGCATGTTTTCAGCCCACATTTTTGATCTCAAAGAGTGCTGGACACAGGCTGCTTTTGCCTTGGTGTTGACTTCATTCCTTGTTCATACAGCACACCTGCAGGAGGATGCGAGACCCTGTAATTTAGACAACAGAAATAACTAAAATGTCTATGAAATCTATAAACCCACTACCTGGGTTGTCTCATCTTGGTTGCTGTTGTTTTTGACAAGATTACAATCCACCTTGATGTGCAGAATCTGAATCAAATCAGAAAAGAAAAGCAAAGACCAGAAGAACATAGATGCCATGTAAATGTGTGATTTGCTGTAGCTGATACCAGCTTCTAACACACCCACTAATAATGAATGATAATGGATTTCTCCTGAGCCCAACCTGTTTCCAAGTGGGTTTGCTATGCACACTTGGACATGAAAATGCCTAAGCAACCTGCACGTGATGCAGTACTCTTACTTTTAATGGCTGTCAGTATTTGTATAGTATTTATGAAATACAGCTATGACAGGTGATTATTATCATGGGTGGATGTTTTCATCTCTACCCTGTTTTGTCATTTATTCTCTCAAGTGCACTAGGTACTAAACTCATAGCCACTGTTTACATTTCAGTAGATGTAATAGGTTCTTGGTCCCTATTAGTCACATAGGCACCAGTCTAATGGGCACCACGACTGACACCTCATAACTCTCACTAGCTGTTTAGTGAGTGATACAACAACTGTTCTCTTTTAAATAACAACACACATTGTAGATATACCTACTTATAATTATATAGTTGTTTATGACTGAAACAAAAATGGATGACTAATGCATACTTGAATCTGTTCAGTCTTTCCTGTTGCTAAGACTTGTTGCCATCCAGATTTCTAAAAGACAGCTCATTAGTTTTTGTTTTGATGTTGAACATTGTCTCTGCCCAAGGCAGTTTCTCCTGTTTTGATAAACTCGGGTAAGGATCGAAGACAATGTAATTTCAGAATCTCACAATGTCTCTCTCTCTGCAGCCACACGTCCCCCCGGAGGTTGTCATACAGATGAGTTTCAGTGTCGAATGGACGGCCTGTGCATCCCATTGCGTTGGCGCTGCGACGGGGACACTGACTGCATGGACCTGAGCGATGAGAAGAACTGTGAGGGCGTCACACACATGTGCGACCCAGCTGTCAAGTTTGGCTGCAGGGACTCTGGTGAGGAGATTTCAAATTAAGAAGCATGTAAAGTACATACCGTCAGTTGAAGTCATTCTTTTTAACCCTGCCTTCTGTCCATAGCACGCTGTATCAGCAAAGCCTGGGTGTGCGATGGAGACAGCGACTGTGAGGACAATTCTGATGAGGACAACTGTGAAGCACTGGTCTGTAAACTCTCTCACCATGTGTGTGCCAACGACTCCACCATCTGCCTGCCTGCAGAGAAACTTTGCGATGGCACTGATGACTGCCCAGATGGCTCTGATGAGAAACTCTGTGGTAAGAGACAACAGCACCCAGGCTGTGTTTCAGTAAAGGGAACGCCATAACAGCAAGCAAAACTCTGCATCTTAAATCAAGGTTTCAGTGGTTTGATAACAGTTCTGTGCAGCAATGTGTCAGTCTTCCTATGATTTTCGCTCTTTTACAGACCTCTGTTCACTGGACAATGGCGACTGTAGCCATAACTGCACAGTGGCCCCTGGCGAGGGGGTGATCTGTTCTTGTCCACTGGGCATGGAGCTAGGGTCCGACAACAAGACTTGTCAAATCCAGAGCTTCTGCGCCAAACACCTTAAGTGCAGTCAACGCTGCGAACAGGACAAGTTCAGTGTGAAATGTTCTTGTTACGAGGGCTGGGAACTGGAGCCTGACATGGAGAACTGCAAAAGCACGGGTAAGGGACTGAAACGGTACAAGAGAGGAAGATGGTGGAGGTTCAGGGGAAGTCAGAAGACATCGGTGAACAATTGAAACTGTGATTGATGCGAGCTGTAACGTAAGGGAGGAAGCTCGAGAAGTGATTGGGCTCTGGGCTTTGACTGCAGAATCAGAAGTGTAGTGTGGGGTTTGGGATCAAGCAAAGGAGGATGCAGGAAACTGTGTGGTTGGAGGAGATGGACCGAGCCAAAATCTGATACTCATTTGGACAATAGACAGAGCGCTGGAAACAGAATAAAGAAATAGTTTAATGCCTTTCAAATCACTATATATATAACTATATGTATCACTATATGACAGGGTAAAAGGTTCACTAAGAAAACATAAAGAGACCTGGGCACTGGTTTCTAGCTGTCATTAATATTTTATTTAAATACATCTTAAATATTAAATAATAAGGTGAAGAGCAGATATGCTTTTTGTGAAAGTCAGTGAGAGGACAAGGCATGAAAAAAACTGCTCAGTCACATTGAATTAGCTTTGAATTTTATTATCCACATAAAGAATATAGTTCTTTCCCTGCAGCAACTAGCCAATGAGAAAACATGAATTTATGATTGTGGTCTTCACTGCCAGGTCTTAGAGACTAGCCAGCAGCACCCTGTCATTCATCCTGCTGTCTGTCTGGATGCCTGTTAGGTACAGATAACTCCTGTCTTATTTACACTGCGTTTTAATTACCCAGGATTAGAGCCACTTTAAACACAGCCCGTCTTTCATTGGACAAGTCACACACTGCAGTGGAACATGGCTGGGATGTTCTCTGAGTTGCGGAGCAAAGCTGCTCTGCAGTATTTTGGTCAACAGTGACCAAACAAAGGACTTTAACCCCTCTTTTAAAGATGGCCGCTGATCTCTCTTGTTCATTTTCACAGATCCTTTCAAACCCTTTATCATTTTCTCAAACCGCCACGAGATCCGCCGCATTGATCTGAATAAAGGAGAGTTCAGTGTGTTGGTACCAGGCCTGAGGAACACCATTGCCCTGGACTTCCATCTCAGCCAAAGTGCCCTCTATTGGACTGACGTGGTGGAAGACAAGATCTATCGTGGGAAGCTGTCTGAGAATGGAGGTGAGCATTTTCAATATGCTTAAAATCTTCTTTTTGTACCATTTGCTATGTTTTTCATATATAGGGTTAGATGATGGCACAAATTTAAGGTCCACCAACAAGATTCATCCCTGAGCTTTCAGCCACATCACATGGTCTTCATCAATGCAGATCATGGGATTTTCATTGCATGTATGATTAAGACAACACCATCAGATAGAGTCAAGATAGACATCTGGAATACTGAACTTGTAATAAAAAGTGGCTTTCTGTTAAAAAAAAATAAGCCATGTCAAGATCAACTTACTGTATTAGGACTTCTGAAAGAGACTTTTACAAGTCATAAAATGTTAATCTCTGAATACAGTATTAAACACTACAGGAATATATTGTAGTTCTGTTAAAGTAAACTGAAGTAAGCACTTGTAAAGCTACACTGTTGGTGCTGGTACTGTGGCTTCTTGTGTGGTTTCATAAAGGCCGGACTAGTCAATCACTGCCTGGGGCTTTCATTACTGCAGCAGTAATAATGAGCAAATGATGTGTCTACACTTCTTTCACGTTGCATTTACATCTTTATATGTGTATTTGGTGTGGTTGTTGCATGCCACATTGGCTAGGCGCAAACAATAGACCACATACAGTGAGTGTGTGTTTTCTTTGCCCCTGAAGATAATGACTCATCTCAAGCAATTAGACATGGTCTCTCTCATTAGGGACCCACTGGAAAATGAAAGGATAGAAAGAGGCTGGAAAATGTAATTGTTTAGCCCTTCAAGACACCACATATTTAGCTTTTTTAAGGCCCACTCTACAATTGTAGTATCACACCCCCTGCTGATACCGTATTTATTTATGTTTTAATTTATCGTGCTATCATGTGTTTTCTGAAGAATATTGCATCTAACCATTTGATTAAAGGAATTACAGTGATGCAATGTTAGCTTTGAATCCAAATAGCTTGGTCACATTTACATAATTTGTAAATACTGAAGCAAAGCGGATCAGTGCTTGGGGTTTCAGTACAATCTGAAATGTTGCCATCAGCTAATACCAGCCTTCGAAGCCTTTATCCTTACATATTGAATTGCTGTGTGAATTCATTAAGAATAAGATAGCCTACTGACAATTTTTCTGGTCTTTCTTTACCTGTCTTCGTAGCTTTAACCAGCTTCGATGTGGTGATCCAGTATGGCCTGGCTACCCCTGAGGGCTTGGCAGTGGACTGGATAGCAGGAAACATTTACTGGGTGGAAAGCAACCTGGATCAGATAGAGGTGGCTAAGTTGGATGGCACCATGAGGACCACGCTGCTGGCTGGAGAGGTGGAACACCCTCGAGCTATAGCTCTGGATCCCCGGGATGGGTAATTTCTACACTGCTTGCTGTACCTCCTGCTGATATCATACAAAACACGTTTACAACAAATTTTGAAAAGTTAAATGTTATTGTTAGGCTTAATGTTTTAATAACTGCCTGTCCATGTTGTGGCTTGATATTGGTGCAGAATCCTCTTCTGGACAGACTGGGATGCCAGCTTGCCCAGGATTGAAGCCGCATCCATGAGTGGAGAAGGCAGAAAGACCATCCATAAGGAAACTGGCAATGGGGGCTGGCCAAACGGACTCACTGTGGATTATCTTGAGCGCCGCATCCTCTGGATTGATGCCAGGTCCAAAAAAATGGCACAGACACATTCACACAAACACTTTTATTTTGTGCACACACAGTTTCAGTCCTACCTTGAGATTTACTGAAGAAATTGTGCTATACGCAGGTCTGATGCCATTTATTCAGCCAAGTATGATGGTTCTGGGCTGATCGAGGTCCTGAGGGGACATGAGTATCTGTCACATCCCTTCGCCGTCACTATGTATGGCGGAGAGGTGTACTGGACGGACTGGAGGACCAACACGCTAGCCAAGGCAAACAAGTGGACAGGGAGCAACGTCACTGTCGTCCAGAGAACCAACACACAGCCTTTCGACCTCCAGGTGTACCATCCATCCCGACAGCCACAGGGTGAGAAACACACACATGAGCATGCACATACTGCTTATATATAAGCTCATAAATGCTAATTTAGTAGCAGAAGCAACTCCTCTGTTCCTTTACTGCCAGTATATTCATTATGAAAAAACTGAATATTATACACAGTGATTTATAGATCTGAACTGCAAGGTCACACTCTGTATTATTTTTCACTTCTCCTTAGCTCCTAACCCATGTGCGGCTAAAGATGGCAAGGATCCCTGCTCTCATCTATGTCTTATTAACTACAATCAGACATTCTCGTGTGCCTGTCCTCACCTCATGAAGCTGGGCCCTGACAAGCGCACTTGCTATGGTAAGCATGAACACACGTACATAAATGCAGTTAATGTAGAAAACACACTCTTTGATTCCTCTTTGAGCTAGCAGACAATTTTCCCCTCTGCTTGTCTTGGCAACATTGTCGCTGAATGCCACAGTATAATCCCTGTCCTTGCAGAGTAGTTTTTTTTCCATTTGTGTATTTGTGTGGGTAGGTGGGAGGGGAGAGAGAGAGAGAGAGAGAGAGAGAGAGAGAGAGAGAGAGAGAGGATTAAACAATCTAGACTTTTTTTCACTTTGAGGTGCTATTGCTGTGACAGCTTTTGGGCACATTGAAGTGTCTGTCCGTGAAAAGTGAGATCGGGCCTGTTTATTCAGTGTGTGAGTTTAGTATTCAGTGCAGCACTTTCTATTATCTTCAGGGGTAATGGAATGGAGAGCCCCATTCTGTCTGATGCAGGCATCAGCCTCAACCTTCCCCATCCACCACCTAGTCTGGCCTGGCCAAGGCAGCCTGACACTGTCATTACTCTCCCCCTCTCTCTTTCCTTTTCCCTCGCTTCCTGTCTATCATTTAAGCTGCACACAGTTAAATGATGATAGTGCTGTTGAGACCAATGCAGTTGTAACGTATCTGCACTGATTGAATTCACTCTTGCTGTCACGGCTGGCCTATTGAATTGAGCCAGCCAGACACAATCATTAGACTCAAAGATGCAATTGGATTAACTGTTTGTTCAAGTGGCAGGAATAATGCACAGATGCACCCATCCATGCTGCAGCCACCTATCTCCAAAAGCCTTGTAGTGTGCACTCACGCATTTGGCTTTTGACTTGAGGCTGTATTTAACTCCTGATTACTCCCATTGACTGCTGAAGCTTTGGGGAATTACTGAAGGATGCCTGTCAACATGTTCCCTACTCTGCAGAGTCTCGTCAGTTCCTGCTGTATGCTCGCCAGATTGAGATCAGAGGGGTGGACATCGATAACCCATACTACAACTACATCATCTCCTTCACTGTGCCTGACATCGACAACGTGACCGTGGTGGACTACGACGCTCTGGAGCACCGTATCTACTGGTCAGATGTCCGCACCCAGACCATCAAGAGAGCTTTCATCAATGGCACTGGAGTTGAGACTGTGGTCTCTGCTGGTACGCAGGAGGCAACACACCACACTTAAGGCCCATTGTTTTTTCAGTTTGTACAGACTTTTCAGAAAAAAGAACAGATTGTTTTTTTTTTTTCAGCTTTCACATGGACATTATGTCCACATGCTTTTAAATGTTTGGTTTCTTGCTCCAAGAAGTTCAAGGACACTGTTTAACATTGCAGTTTGCAGTAAACAATGTCCTCTGGCGGTCACTACAGAATATGCTAAGTCAGCTGATGACAGCTTTTAGCCAATTCATGGAGCTAGCGTTAATTAGCTAACTAGCTACAGGAACAGTTATCAGATCAGCCAACAAAATCAGAGGCTAGAAAGTAGAAGGTCAATACAATTGGTTAAAAAAAAATATTTTTAATTTTGAGTGGTAAATCTATCACTGTTATAACATCCTATATGGAAAACTTGAAATGCGTTCAACGGTAACTAAGGGGGGAGGGGCTTAGCGAAGGGTCAGTCATTTCTAAATTAGACAATGATGCAAAGGCATGTCTAATTTTTTGGTTCCTATAATAACACGACTGAGAAGATTAATTAATGGCTCTGTGTGTTTATCTTTATCTTATTCTTCAGATCTGCCCAACGCTCACGGCCTGGCAGTGGACTGGGTGTCCAGAAACCTGTTCTGGACCAGTTATGACGCCAATAAAAAACAAATTAATGTTGCCAGACTTGATGGCTCCTTCAAAAATGCTGTCATCCAGGGCCTGGACAAACCACACTGTCTGGTGCTGCATCCAATACTGGGGTTGGTTGTCCACACACACGCACCCACACACACACACACACACACACACACACACACACACACACACACACACACACAAGCTGTCACACTTAGTCAAAATGAAGCTTTCAGAAATTGCTCTACGACATCCTCCCTATTTCACCTTTAACCTGCAACAGATACACACAGAAGTGCGCACACACAATCGTACACATTTGGGCAATGTCTGGCTGTCAGGCTCCCCTCTGTTTGCAGTCAGTGATGACAGGCAGAGTAGTTTGGCATAGATGGTCACTGACCTCTGACTGTTTCTTCACTCTAATTTCTCCCCCTCTTGTCATCTTTCTTCCCTCTGTTGCTCTCTTTCTCCATCTTGCTCCATTTCTATTTTGAAAGATAGCTTCTGCACTATCTATGAATTATTTACAGCCAGTGTCTCGGTCGCTTTCTGTCGCTATTTCTGTTCCGGTGTTTATTTTACATCCTGTCCCCTCCTGCCTTGTTTAGCAAATGTCCATTTTTTTCCCTCCCTTCTTCCCTCTTGAAACTTCATCCCCCATCAGCTCCCCCAAACAAAACCTGGCCTCTCATCTTACCAGCAGAGCAGAGACAGACCATCTGTATTTATATATTTAGTTTTGTCCTGCAGGAATATGTGTGCTTTTGAGTATTTGAGGTGGATGAAGAAAGGATATTTTCTTAAGAAATGTCTCTGCCTCCTTGTGTTTTTTTGTGTACTCCTTCCTCTCTTTCAAAGACTTAGCCTACTTAAGTGGAGGAATGTTTCCGATCTGAGCATTGTTGGCATGGGGGAAAATGAGAAGCAGATGCTGGATCCATATGCTGGGCCTGTCTCCTCTTTCTGGCACACAAAAACACTGCCCAGAATACGTCCAGGAGTGGGTGGGGGCAAAGTCAGTCTGGGAGGGACAAACTCAAACTTGCATCTGGGTGTGTGTGTGAGTGCACAAAAAAGAGAAATGTGGGTGTTTAAATGCGCCAGAAACTTTATTTAAAGTCATGTTAACAAACAAATGAAGGGCGTGGTGGATGTGGTGGGATTTAACAGGAAGTGGCTGATGGGGGCAGAGGACAGATACCCTTTAAACATAGGCTACAGGCAGTCTAAACACAGTGACACGCAATCACATTGTCATGTGTACTCCGTGTTCAGTGGACTTTGACCAGTTTAAGGAGCAAGGAACGCAAATGAATGGTGTTTATGCGAGTGTGTGTGTTAGAGTGAGGGTGTCAGCCATGGGATGATGAGTCAGAGGTCAGTTGTTCAGCATCTGTTGAACTTGATTGAAAAATTGAAAACAACATTGCATTGCCTTTTTTAAAAAAAACCTTATGTAAGTCACATGCAGTTTGGTAAGGATTTGCAGACCAGACGCTCCACAGATTCTACAGTATTTTGTTGTTACTATTACTATTATAATTACTATTGTTACTAATTTATTTATTTTTTTCAAGAGATCTAACTTACAATCATAAAACCAGCATAAAAACCATGGCCATATGTAAACAAATCTTAAGGCAGACTGCCAACAAACCAACAAAAGTAACAAGAGTCATAACAAACATCACATGGTAAAGCTTTAAAATCTCCAAGGGGATTGAAAGAATTTAGCTCGAGAGCTGTTTGCAATTTGTTCCATTTAAAAGGTGCACAGTACCCTAATCCAGTCCAAGATTAGTGTGTACATGTGAGATATATAAGGTTAAGAAATTATTGGCATGTGTGTCGTAATTGTACGATTTATTTGATATTTAAATTATAGCTTTTTTGTCAAAACCCCCTATGATTTTGCCATACAATAAGCAGTGAGGTTTGTGTTGTGAGGGTTGTGAATGTTATTAGGTGGGGCTAAGTTTGGTCAAACTATGATGTGCTGAAAATAAATTAAAGTTCTCCTTCCTCCTGTGGAGCCTCCTAGTGTGGCTTTGCTGATTCTCTCTGCCTGCCTCTTTTAGGAAACTCTACTGGACAGATGGGGACACCATCAACATGGCCAACACAGACGGCAGCAACCGCAGCGTCCTCTTCACCAACCAGAAAGGACCTGTTGGTGAGTGACGTACTCTCCGTCTTTCTGTGACTGCAAGAGATACAGCACACCCTTGTGACAGGGGAGGTCATTACACATCAGTATCAACGTCTTTGTTTTCGGGGTGCCTGGATAGCTCACTTAGTAGAGCTGGCGCCTCATGTACCAAGGCTGAGTCCTTCTGTAGGGTTTGAATGTGGCCCTTTGCTGTGTGTCATCCCCGCTCTCTCTCTCTGCCCTCCTTTCCTGTCAATTAAAGGCAATGATAGCCCAAAAATATATTAAGAATAACATATTTGTTTTCTAGGTCTCTCCATTGACTTTGACACTGAGCAGCTGTACTGGATCAGCTCTGGAAACAGCACCATCAACCGCTGTAAACTGGACGGCTCTGGACTGGAAGTGCTTGAGGGAGCAAAGGGCAAGCTCACCAAGGCTACTGCCCTGGCCATCATGGGTAGGTCTACAAAAAAAACTGTGGCTAGTGATGTATGTAGGGATACTACAGCCATGTATGTGTATGCCTTTAAATGTTTTTGAATTGAGGGTTGAGCCATCCTGTTGTGTGTTGTGTCCTTTAGGAGAGAAGTTATGGTGGGCAGACCAAGGAACTGACCAGATAGGGACCTGCGACAAGAAGGACGGTGGCAGCTGGAAAGTTCTGAGGAACAGCACGTCCCCCATGATGCACATGAAAATCTACAATGAAACTGTGCAGAAAGGTGCAGGGCCAGCTATCGACTTTTTCTAAACTTACGCAACATTGTTTTGGTTGAATTACGTAGCAAAAGATATAGAAATAAGAGGAAAATGTGTCCCTGTCTCATCCAAGGTCTGTTTTGCTTGCTGCGTGTAGCCTGTTTATCTATGCCAAAGCACATCTGTTTATGTCTCTGTAACTCCTCTTTGATTTGTTTTGTGTATTTGTTCTCGTGCTTTTGTGTTCCCAGGCACCAATCTCTGCAGTAATAACAATGGAGACTGTTCCCAGCTGTGTCTCCCCACCTCCCCAACCACCAGAGCTTGCATGTGCACTGCAGGATACAGCCTGCGCACAGGGCAGCAGTCTTGTGAGGGTACGACATATACATAACGCATTCTTCATTTAGCCAAATATGAATTAAGGAATTGATGAAAATTATAAGTGTGTGATGTAAAACAAAGGCTGAAAAAGGGAATTTTTTTTTTTTGGCTGTAGGTGTTGGCTCTTTCCTTCTGTACTCTGTGCATGAAGGCATACGTGGTATTCCTTTGGACCCATCAGATAAGTCTGATGCACTGGTACCAGTGTCAGGCACATCCCTGGCTGTGGGCATAGATTTCCACGCCGGTAAGTCTTCTTACAACATTTCTTTTTCTCAAATGCTAGATAAGAATTACCACAGAATGAACATATTTTGTGTATTTGATGCAGCTGAAATAACAGGGTAATTTGCCATTGCATTTAGCATGTGTTATTGTATAAGCAAATAGGAATGTTCTGTTTGGTCCAACTCTAATATGTTTCACTTGTTTTCACAGACAATGACACTATCTACTGGGTGGACATGGGCCTGAGCACCATTAGCAGGGCCAAGAGAGACCAGACCTGGAGAGAGGACGTGGTCACTAATGGCATCGGCAGGGTGGAGGGCATCGCTGTCGACTGGATAGCAGGTGAGAGACATGTAAAAACATAGTGTACATGACCAAAATTGTGGAATTCAAACAGTATCAATCATGCACACTGATAAACTGTGGCTCTCTGTAATTAAATATATCTTCTTTGCACACACAGTCACTCTTACCACACAGTAGTAAGGAAGAAGTAGGGGAACCTATTGTTCTAAGTGCGAAAACAGGAAAGAGATACCCAAAGAACATACACAGAAGATAAAAAATAAAGAAACAATAAAAAATCTTGGGTTAATGAATGTCACCTTAATTGACAAAAAGGAGGTCAGATAGGCTAGATATATGCATCACTATACATGCAGCAAAGGATCTGCCAGAGCATCATAGTTTCTCCTCTATCCTCTACAGGAAACATCTACTGGACGGATCAAGGCTTTGATGTGATAGAGGTGGCCAGACTAAACGGCTCCTTCCGCTATGTGGTGATCTCCCAGGGCCTGGACAAGCCTCGCGCCATAACTGTCCATCCTGAGAAAGGGTGAGAGGAAACAACACAGGGTCCAGCTCCAATTACTACTGTAGCGGTCTTTAGCTTCTGCTTCTGTAATCTCTCACATTATTGATTACTGAGGAAGTTATCTCTGCGTTTTGCTGTGTGTGTGTGTGTGTGTGTGTGTGTGTGTGTAGCTACCTGTTCTGGACAGAGTGGGGCCAGTATCCGCGTATTGAACGGTCTCGTCTGGATGGCTCTCAGAGGGCTGTCCTGGTCAATGTCAGTATCAGCTGGCCCAACGGCATCTCCATTGACTACGAGGTGCAGTATAACGGACCCCTCTTGCATTTATATCACTATGTTACGGTGCAGACAGTGGACGTTGCATCACAACATTATCTTGAACATTACTGTGTGTGTGCGTGCACGTAGGAGAGTATGCTGTACTGGTGTGATGCTAGGACGGACAAGATTGAGCGTATCAACCTGGAGACTGGAGAGAACAGGGAAGTGGTGCTGGCCAACAACAACATGGACATGTTCTCTGTGTCTGTGTTTGAGAGCTACATCTATTGGAGTGACAGGTCAGATATAGTCTTACTTGCGCTCACTTTTGGATTATTTGTGATTGATATTCACCCACAGTCATGATATTTTTCCTCCAATCTGTTTATTTTTTTAATTTTGTCTGTGTGCTTTAAACTAGGACACATGCTAATGGCTCCATAAAGAGAGGTAGCAAGGACAACGCCACAGACTCTGTGTCTCTGAGGACTGGTATTGGGGTGCAGCTCAAAGATATTAAGGTTTTCAACAGGGCCAGGCAGCAAGGTAAACACAGAGGTGTTGAGCAGTGTTCAAGGAATTTGTATTTATATAAAATGAATAGTTGTGTGCCAGTGCGCTTTTTGTGCAATCTCATTTTTTAATATTGAAATTTAACTGTAGTTGATTTCACTTCATGGATTTCATGTCTGTGTACAGGAACAAACGTGTGCAAAGACAACAATGGCGGGTGCCAGCAGCTGTGTCTTTTCCGTGGCAACGGACAGCGTACATGTGCCTGTGCCCATGGCATGTTAGCTGAAGACGGCAGCAGCTGCCGAGACTATGATGGCTACCTGCTCTACTCAGAGCGCACTATACTAAAGAGCGTCCACCTGTCAGATGAAAACAACCTGAATGCGCCCATTAAACCATTTGAGGACCCGGAGCACATGAAGAACGTCATTGCACTCACTTTTGATTACAGAGGGGGTGGTGGAAAGGGAGCTAACCGTATCTTCTTCAGTGACATCCACTTTGGCAACATCCAGCGGATCAGTGACGACGGATCTGACCGCAGGACTGTGGTAGAGAGTGAGTAATCCCACATCTTAAGTTTAAGTCTAAAAAACCCTATTGTCCTTTAACAATCAACCTGCACCCAGTTCTTATATCCCAGTTTATATTTAGTATATTCCCCATTGTTGGTATTGGGTCTGTCTTTAGTCATTTTTAGTTACTCAACTATTTTGTGAATAACTAAGAAAGTTAGTTGTAAACATTAGATCCCACATTGAGAACTCTTCCTGGGATGAAACGGCTGGTGTTCCCCAAAACACTAAACATCTAAACACAACCAGTAAGCTTTTATTATGAAGTTGTAACCAAACTAGAAACAAAAGGGAAGACTTTATTTATTGGAGGTTTGAGAACACAGTGTATGCAAACATAAACAGGCCTACAGATAGACTTTCATTCACCTTATCTCAGCACAACAAAACACAGGTGCACTGTTAATGTTTTACCAGAGTGCCTTTTACTTTAAGCAGTTTTACAAGGAATGCACGGTTCAGGATTGTTTGTCCCACAGTCCCTGTGGAGCCGCACCTCCCAGGGCTACCGGTTTGATCTTCTCATACAATATCCAGACTACCAGTTAATGTTGTTAAGAGGAAAAGATGTTGAATATTTTCCGCTTTTGTGAGTGCTGTTGTTTTAACTTGGTAAGTAGACTTTCCTCATGACAGTAATGGTTATATCCATTTCTTTCATGATTCTGTCAGCAAAGTAACTGGGGTTGTAATTGTTTTACCGTGATTCCCAGTAGTCTCATTGTTTGTCTGTCAGGTGTTCAGTTACATCAAAATAGTCATTGACAATAATGCAGTCAGGCAGCAGTCATAGACACTGCCACGCTGGCTCTTTGCCCCCTCTTGAACAGCTTCAGTAAATCTTGTCTGAACTTTTGGGACATCAGTACATAGAGGATGGGGTTCATCACTGTAGAGGAGGTCGCCATGAGTCGCGCAAACACACTGAAGAGGCCATAACGTGGCGAGGCACCAGTGGCGCCTGAGCTTTTATCCGCCAGTAATGCCAGCGTCAGGCCATAGGACGGCAGCCAGCACAGCGTAAATGCTAGCACCAGCATGGCTGACGTCTTGGTCACTTTACTCTGGTAGCGCTCCACTTGGGGGGCCCTGCCGGTATGCCGGCTCCCCCACAGGAACATGTAGATCCTGGCGTATGCCAATGCAATAGTGACCAGTGGAAGCAAGAAGGCCACAAGAAAGTGAAACAATCCATAGATCAGCTGGTCTCGGTGGGACAGGAAAGCAAAGCAAGAGAGGCCATCAGGGGCTCGAAGTGGGGATCCCACAAAGCGAAAAACCAGCTGTGGGGCAGCCAGGCCGCAGGCTGGAACCCAGAGGAGTGCAGCAGCTATGGACACCCGGCGAGGGGAGAGGAGGCTGTAGGCTCTGGCAGGCTTCACTACAGTCAGATAGCGAGACACAGCCAGCGTGGCCAATGTGAAGGCACTTGCTGAGGAGCAGGCTGATCCCAAGAAGCCCACCAGACGACACATGAAGTCCCCAAAAGGCCATCGCTGCATGGCTATGGCAACAGTGTGGAAGGGAAGCATGGAGAGCAAAAGCAGGTCTGCAGAACTCAGAGCCAGCAGGAGGACGTCTGTGCCTGTGCCTGTTATGGAGCTTTGAGGAGACTGTCCAATATGTCCTACCCCTCTTCTCCGCCTCCCACACAGGATCACCATCACCATGGTGTGTCCGCCAACTCCCAGCACCAGAATCAGCACGTCTAATATTGGGACTAGGACATGCTCCACGTTGCCCTGCCCAGTGTCACTGCTGTTCCCCAGCAGATCCTCTGACCCTGTATAGTTACACAGTGGCATCCTGTCTTCAGTTATGGAGGTGTCTTCCGGTCATACTGCTGCTGTTAAAACACAAACAAATATGGATCAAATATGCTCAAGCTGGTCATAAAACTAGTGATAAAACATGTGGGAATGATTACTCATACGGCGTGTCAATAGCAGCTTACTCAGAAATAACAGCACACAGATTTCCAATCAAAGGTTGATGGTAAGTCTTACCAATAAAAATGAGTGAAGATCAATAGTTAATACATGACTTTATGCATATAGACACATAACATACATTTATGTACTTTCTGACGTTGTGAAAATGACACTTTAAACACATCCAGCCATTGACCATTTTCAAAGTTGAGCTTGAGCTTCAAGCTTCCAATGTTCTATATGGGAATCAAACCATTCCAGTCCTTGCAATCAACCTACCTCTGATTGGATGAGGAGGGGGTAAAGAGAGTGAAATAACACCAGACCCCTCCGTTGAATTCAAGACACTCCTGATTTCTTAGCTGCTGGGGGTTTTCATCCCTCCCCCTGGACTCTTGTTAAGAGCACCCAACTGTTGAGAGCTAAATGCTGTAGACTGTGTGATTTCCTGTCACCTCAGAGCAGGCAACTACTCCACATGACATCTCAATCAGGCCAGCGCTCAACAATCCACAATCAGCGTCACTCCTGCCTCCAAGGAACAGATCTCCAGAGAAACACAATTCGAGCAGAAAAGGGAAAAGAAAGGCGAATAACTCGACGGTAAGAGAGGATGAAACAAGTAAACGGCAGGTGAACTCTGGACTGATTATCACAGAGCAGACCAGAGAAGGGCCGGCCTGCTCTCTGTGGGAGGGCCTAATGAAGCCAAACAGTTTTTCCCAGGGTCCAGCGTTTCTGTTCATTTTTTTTAAACGATCTGTACATTTTCTAAGGTTGTCCCTGCACACACAGACACTATGCAGAACATACACAGATATGGTATATACACGGACAGAGGCAGAGTGAAATTCTGTTTGCCTTCAGAAATCAGAGAAATCATTGGCTACCAGTCTGATAGCAAACACTGAACTGCTAACACACCTACTGCAGATAACTGCCATATAACACTATCAGTGTCAGTATGACCAGCTAAGCTCAAGAGCTATAAATTCAGCTCATCTGTATTATTGTGAACTACAAGCGAAAATTTACAGAAACCCAGATAGGCTTAGGTCAACAACGTGAAGATAAACAGCAAGAATTTGAGTAGAGAGTGCTGCAGAGTAGAGATTTACAATTCATTAACAGCACTAAGGAAAGAGGAAATTGTTTTGATGTTGCTCCTCATTGATTTTTAGGGCATTGATTTATGAGTACGAGAAGCGAAGGGGAGTTGTTTTTTTGCGCTTCATGCCTTTGCTCTCCTCTCCAGTTGCTTTGCTTCATTCACATGCTCCTAGAATGAGCCAGACAAACGTTGATTCATGTCCACGGCGTTGCACTGGAGATGTTGAGGTATAGTGTTAAGTATCCCACCTGGTGGCGAACCTCACTGATCCTCTGGCCCGAGCTGTGATACAGTGAGATCATATCCAGCCCTGGAAAAGGCCGCTGTGATCATTAGAGCCTCACTGTTCCATTGCAGTAACAGTAACAAGGAGGCAGCTATTACCAATTATTTGGCATTGGAGAGATCTGACGCATGGTTGTTTTCAAATTTACTCTTCCTGAAGTACATCATATATGGGTTTGTATGAATTGTTTCTCACCAACAGAGCATCTGTTCTCTATCTGCCGCCACAGAACTTTGTGTTCCTCCATTTTGGCTGACTCTTGTCTGTCCTCTGGCCTCTGTGCAGGCGAGGAGCTCACAACCTCTTCCTCTTTTGAAAGGCTGCGGAGCAGAAAAAATGACTCTTTATTTCTCATCTGTTGATGAGGTAGTGCAATGGAAAGTTATACGCTTGCCGGCAACTGTTATTGTGACCTTTTTAGTGAGCTATTTGTTGGATAAAAGCCTCGAATCACACTGTGTTCTTGGTCATTAATACCAAGCTGTCATGTCCTTAGCCCTGACTCTGTGCTGCCACACAGCAGCCTGCCAGCACTGTGCTGCTGCCAGACAGTCCACACTTGGCCTTTTAACATAGCAATGGGATTGACGTGCCCCCCCCCCCTTTTCTCTTCTGTCTACACTCCTCTTTGTGGTTTAATGTCTCTTTGTTCTTTTCCACTGTTCTCTGTATTTATCTCCATCTTTCTTTTCCCCCTCTTCTCTCTATTCTTTCATTCTTTTTCAGATGTTGGCTCTGTGGAGGGCTTGGCCTACCACAGGGGTTGGGATATGCTGTACTGGACCAGCTACACTACCTCAACCATCACCCGCCACACTGTGGATCAGAGCCACTGGGGCGCCGTTGACAGGCACACCGTGGTCACCATGTCGGGAGATGACCACCCCAGAGCCTTTGTACTTGATGAGTGTCAGAGGTTAGAGATAATAATTTAAATTTATATCACACCTCTTTGCTTTCAAAACTAAATGATGTTAAAAAATTTATATATTTGTATTCTCTCCTACAGCCTCATGTTTTGGACCAACTGGAATGAGCAGTCTCCCAGTATCATGCGTGCCACACTGTCTGGTGCCAATGTCCTTGTGATCATTGGCAATGACATCCGAACCCCTAATGGCCTGGCCATAGACCACCGTGCTGAAAAACTTTATTTCTCTGACGCCACGCTAGACAAGATAGAACGCTGCGAGTATGACGGCACCCGGCGCTACGTGAGTGACATACACCCTCACATGGTTTACATGCTGCATAATGAAAATATGTGTACTGCAGTATGATTGTAATGTGGGGTTTCCTAATAAAAAGATGTTGCAAGGCTTGAAATCCCTGAATGTATGAAATCGAGACTGTCATTGTGCTTCCCCCTGCAGGTGGTACTGAAGAATGAGCCGGTGCATCCGTTTGGCCTCGCTGTGTATGGGGACTACATCTTCTGGACTGACTGGGTGAGGAGGGCAGTGCTTCGGGCTGACAAATACACTGGAGGAGACATGAAGGTGCTGCGTGCTGACATACCTCAGCAGCCAATGGGAATCGTTGCTGTGGCCAACGACACCAATAGCTGTGAGTGAATGTGTGTGTGTCATTATTGTTCTTTATAGTAACGTTGTAACAGTAAGTGTTCCTTTAGTCTTTATCACAGTGCAGTTTTTATCGTGTGTGACTGTATATTGTGATTTTGTAAATTAGTCATCACATTGGTGTAAAAATAAAGGTCCATCATAATAATAATAATAATTCTATTTATAACAACAATAATAAAATCATATGTATAAATGTATAGATGTAAGTGTGTAATGTATATAAATCCCAGGCAGTTAATGTAATCTCATATTGCACTAATATGCAGCTAAACCATCCATACAGCACATATCTAGTAAAATATATCAAAAACATTTTTTTTTTACATTTATAGTAAGTTGAGCAATAATTTGCGAGGTAATATCTTGACATTTCAATACTGCACAGATAACCATTCCTTTGTGAAATCATCAGTGTAGTAATGCCGTTACAAATCAAACTAATTAACTGAAAATATAGGCTTTTTGGAAGCAAGTCTTGTACTTAAACACCCAAGATGAGCTCTATATTACCACCGACACACTTACACAAGCTGAATTGCTGTTCTTCACTTCAGTCTATACATCTCCACCTCTTTCTCCAACTCTTTTCGTCCTACATCTCCCATTGTCTGTGTATTTTAAAATCCTTGCAGCAATTTTTCCCTCTACCATATCGTCTGCCATCTTCTCCCTCAAGTTGCCTCATTCAGTAAACTCTCTCGCGCTCCAATACCCACAGTGACCCTACAAGCCGAGAGCCTGTGGTAATAGCTGCAAATCCCATTTAGGTTGAGTCACATTGAATTATGCATTCAGCGGAGGCAGAGCCATCGCCACATTCATGCAAGCGTATCTGTCTGTCTGCTGATATAGATGCACCAGTGTGTGTGTGTGTGTGTGTGTGTGGGGGGGGGGGTTTGCCTGTGTGTCAGTCACTTGTGTGTGTGTGTGTGTGTGTGTGTGTGTGTGTGTGTTAATATGTGTGGCTAACCTTCCCTAACTTTCTTTATCTCTGCGCAGGTGAATTTTCTCTGTGCCGTGTTAACAATGGAGGGTGTCAGGACCTGTGTTTGCTGACCTCTGAGGGAAGGGTCAACTGCAGTTGCCGTGGTGACAGGAAGCTTTTGGAGGACAACACATGCATAGGTAATACATGACAGGGAATCATAAAAACAAAAGATTGGCTTAAAAACCTTTGCTGAGATGCCAGATAAAATAAAGAAAACAAGATGTAGGGGGAAGACAGTTCCTAAGTGCATTTTTCTGTCTTTGTCTCACAGCCCTCAACACTACATGTAACAACATTGATGAGTTTGAGTGTGGAAATGGAGACTGTGTTAACTACACCCTGACTTGTGATGGCATGGCCCACTGCAAGGACAAGTCTGATGAGAAACAGTCCTATTGTGGTGAGTTGAGCCTTTTTTCTCTCTCAAAAACACTTCCAGCCATATTTTTGCTGTTGACATTTGTAATTTGATCATTTCCTGTCTGGTTCTCAGCCAACCGTGTGTGTAAGAAGGGCTACAGACGGTGTGTGAATGGTCGCTGTGTGGGGCATAGCTTTTGGTGCAATGGGCAGGATAACTGTGGAGACAATTCCGATGAAGTCTTCTGTAACAGTGAGTCGAGTCCTCTGATTAAACACGCAGTTATATATTTTAAAATGATGTTCTAATTAAACACCATCTCGTGTTTGCCAGCCACACTCTGCTCAGCTGATCAGTTCCAGTGCAGAGACGGAGGCTGCATCTCTAACTCCAGCAAGTGTAACCAGAAAGTGGACTGCGAGGATGCCAGTGATGAGACAAACTGCAGTAAGTTCAAATGATCAGGTTCAGTTAGAATAACTACATTTAAATGAAAAACGCCAACACTTTCTCCCAGGCAACGGTATAATGTAGTCCTGCTCTCTTTGTTAAGCTGCCACGGACTGTTCCAGTTACTTCCATCTGGGAGTGAAGGGAGTGACATTTCAGAAGTGCGAGTTCACCACACTCTGCTTTGCCCCTTCGTGGCAGTGTGATGGAGCTAATGACTGTGGAGACTTCTCTGATGAAAGAAATTGCCCAGGTATTTTTATCATTCTCTGAAATACACATATTTTCTCACAGTTTGAATAGATGCAGTATCCAAGGAAAAAGTTAAATTATAGTTTCATAGATGGATTAGAGCAAAAAGTTTAATTTGGATTATTCCAAATGGAACAAAAACAAAGAATGTTTTCATCCATTAAATTGTGGTTTTGGAGGAAGTTCTCCTTAAAGTCTGTAACATAAATTAAATTTGTATTTTTCTCTCCATGCTGGCTTAACTCCGTAATGTTTTCTTCTCTAACTTGCCACTTTTGTGTCACTCCAGGGAGTGGGAAAACAAAGTGTCCTACACCCTTCTTTGCCTGTCCTAGCGGACGTTGTATCCCCATGAGCTGGACATGTGATAAGGAGAATGACTGTGAGAACGGTGCAGACGAGGCTCACTGCGGTAAGTTTACATACTAGAACCTAAAGTAGCTGAAGTGCAACAGACCATTACTTTGTTTTGGCGCTCGTTTTTTCACTTTATACATTCTTTCTGGACCTCTAGACAAATTCTGCTCGGCCTCTCAGTTTGAGTGTGGGAACCACCGCTGCATTCCCAACCGCTGGGTGTGTGACGGGGCCGACGACTGCGGTGACAGCAGTGATGAAGACAGCAAGTGCAGTGAGTTGTTGGGAACAAACCTTTTAGTGAATACAAGAACCATTCGTGCTAACATTTGTGACACCAAAAATATTTTGACAGCATTAGAATCTGTGTAAAAATATGTGTAAATATACATTACATTCTCAAACATGGAGGAATCTCCTCATTTATAAGGACAGCAGACATTAATCAGTTGGCTAATTTTCAACTGCAGTCCTTTGGTGAGATGATTTTAACCTGTAAGTAATAAAATGTACAGAACAATGACAGCAAGACGCCATAGAGACAGCAACAGCAACGAAACAAGTAATTCTTCAAGACAGATCACAAGCCATGCAGAGCAACAGAAGACCGCAACAAACACCATTTCGGCACATAAAGCCTTGCAAGCAGCATGAAGCAACAAAACACAGCCATGCAGAGCCATAATAAACAGCAGTCATGGATAAAATGCAATACTCATTATGGTGATAGACAGTTATAAGACACAACTCTAAAAGAAAATACCAGATTGTTAATAAAAGACTAGTAGCTATTCCATACATACCCAAGCCATGAGAAGCTGGCCGCCTAGCAACTGGCAAAGGACATTGGACTAGTTAGCAGCATGTTAGCCAGTAATACAGTAGCTAATGATAATATTGTGTATTGTATTTTAGCTCGAGCTTTAGTATGTATGCATGTCATCTCTTTTGCAAGATAATTCTGTTAGTGAGTACTGCACAATACTCACATGCAGTATGGACTGAAATATTGGCATGTTTGCAAAGACTTTTAATAGCTTTAAATAATCACACTTATTGACAGTAACTTTCCTATTCTGCTTCTGAAACATTAAAGAAATATAATAATAACTATCTGATATGTTTTCAGAGTTCTATTCTATTCAGGGCAAAGAAAGGCATCACAATAATCTTCAATAACCTCTTTCCATTACAGAGACCAAAACCTGCAGTCCTGAGGCGTTCCAGTGTCCTGGATCACATATGTGTATCCCTCAGGGTTGGAAGTGTGACGGAGACAAAGACTGTCCTGACGGGGCTGACGAGAGCGTCAAAGCTGGCTGTGGTGAGTGCAGGCTGCGGGTATAAAACATTTTAATAACCCACGCAGATAAAGAAAAACATAAAACGTTAAAAAGTTATTTATGTCATTCACTCACTAAATATTTTTTATGTATCAGTATTCAACAACACGTGCAGCAGCAATGAGTTCATGTGCCAGAACCGACAGTGTATCCCCAAGCACTTTGTGTGTGACCATGACAACGACTGCAGTGACGGCTCAGACGAGTCCCAGGAGTGTGGTGAGTGGAACCATGACCTCTTATCCCTGATGGGGCGATTTTAAAAAGCTCTTTCCTCCTCGCTCGATTTCACCATTGCGCTGTTTTTTCTTGTTTTTCTTGCTGCAGAATATCCGACATGTGGAGCCAATGAGTTCCGCTGTGCCAACGGACGCTGCCTCATCCAGAGTTCGTGGGAGTGTGATGGAGACTTTGACTGCCATGACCACTCAGATGAAGCCCCCAAGAACCCACACTGCACTGGGCAAGGTTGGATCCACACAGCCACTCCAGAAACACTTTACTTTTTACTTGCATTTTCTTTTATTTATTGATCTAATTAATTCAGTGCATTAATTGACGTTAGTGTAATTTAAATATGCCAGATTTAGCCACATCTCTGTAGCCTTTGTGCATAGCCAAACAACATTATAGCACATACAGCATCAACAGGAGATGGAGAAGGCACATCCAATTAAAGTGCCTATGTTAATGCACGTAAAAGTGAATATGACCCCAACGTATTATATTTTGGCAACTGGAAAGCACTCTCAACAGTTGTGACTGAAATTAATTCCAGGGGGTCTGAAATAATATCAGCTGCACTGGTTGACATTTTCTCTTCATTTGTTTCTCATTTCCTTTCATGGAACAGAGAAGAAATGCAACGACACGGCTTATGCCTGCAACAATGGAAACTGTGTCAATGAGACACTGCTCTGTGACCATAAGGACGACTGCGGCGATGGCTCAGATGAGCTGAACTGCTTTATCAACGAGTGCCTGAACAGCAAACTGAGTGGCTGCTCCCAGCTCTGTGAAGACCTTAAAATAGGCTTCAAGGTAAGCGAACGCCATGGAATTCAGACCTGCGATCTCTAGTAATAGGTGTGTAAAAATAAGCAGCATGCATTGTTGCTTTACCTGCTCTGTGCTTTGCCTCCTCACAGTGCAGATGCCACCCCGGCTTCCGTCTGAAAGACGATGGGAAGACGTGTGTCGACATAGATGAGTGCACAACCACCTATCCCTGCACGCAGCGCTGCATCAACACACACGGCAGCTTCCACTGTTTGTGTGTGGAGGGTTTCCAGCTTAGCCCTGAAAACCCTACCATATGCAAATCCACCTCAGGTAAGGAACATGAAAGGATTAATAACATTCAGGAAGTGTTTACAGTAAATCCACTCACATATGACGTATCCCTCCCTGCAGATGAGGAACCTTTCCTGATCTTTGCCAACCGTTACTATCTGAGGAAGCTGAATTTAGATGGCTCCAACTACACACTGCTCAAACAGGTGAGCCCTGCAGATACAGTATGTCCTTTTGAAGTTCTTAAACATCCTGTACAACTATCCTGCAGGGATTTATGGCTGGCCCAGACTAATGCAGCTCCTTGTGCTTTGACAGGGCTTGAACAATGCTGTGGCTCTGGACTTCGACTATCGCCAGCAGATGATTTATTGGACAGATGTGACCACCCAAGGCAGCATGATCCGACGCATGCACATAAACGGCAGCGATGTTCAGGTCAGTGCGGCGGCGGCGTCTTGTCTAAGGATAGCAGACAGGGAAATGTGCTGATAATACCTTCTTAGTCTTAACATAAAACTGGCATTTAAAATGATGAATTAATCTTCATTTGTATGCATGGAAGTGTAGTGAAGACCCAGGAAAAATAATTAATTTCCTCATTGTAAGGCACAGTTTCAGAAAGTATACACTGCTTGCTCATTTGTTAGGTCCTTCATCGCACATCACTCAGCAACCCAGATGGTCTGGCAGTCGACTGGGTAGGAGGAAACCTGTACTGGTGCGATAAGGGACGGGACACTATCGAGGTGTCAAAGCTGAATGGAGCGTACCGAACAGTTCTGGTCAACAGCGGCCTGAGGGAGCCACGTGCTGTGGCTGTGGACGTACGTTATGGGTAAGAGTGACTTTCCGTAACTTTGAAGATCTGGGTCAAAAAGTGGAAGCAAAGATTTTTTTGAGAAGAGAAAGTTTGTTTTATTCTGTTTGGATGGCCAATGGGTGCATTTTATATACATCAATTCATGTACTCTTAAGTTAAACTGCCTAATTGTTTTGTTTGTCAGTTACTGTATATTAGATTGTACTTTTTGTGATTTTGTGTATTTGAAACTCATTGTTTTAGTAAACAACCGCAAGATTTGTTATGGATAAACCTAACTAATACATCACCTCCCTGACAGGTACTTATACTGGTCAGACTGGGGTGACAGTCCACACATAGGTAGGGTCGGGATGGATGGCACCAACAGGAGTGTCATTGTGGAGGATAAGATCACCTGGCCCAATGGCCTGACGCTGGACTTTGTCAATGACCGCATTTACTGGGCTGATGCTCGAGAGGACTACATTGCATTTGCCAGCCTGGATGGAACCAACAGACACACAAGTAATTGTAATAAAAACCCAATAGGACTGTGTTTGTGCACCTTTCCACTTGTTGTTACTGACTTCTTTGTCTTTGTGCCTGTGCCCCTTGTAGTTCTGGTTCAGGATATCCCCCACATCTTTGCTATGACTCTGTTTGAGGAGTACATCTACTGGACGGACTGGGAAACAAAGTCCATCAACAGAGCTCATAAAACACTGGGACTCAACAAGACCGTGCTGATCAGCACCTTACACAGACCGATGGACGTCCACATTTACCACCCGTACCGACAACCTGAAGGTAATACCAAGTCACCCGTCACCCTCAATCCTCCATGTCCTGGTCCCTGTTTGATCTACCCTTAATTCTACTCGTATATATTTCCTTGTTCTTCAGTGGCCGACCACCCGTGCCAAATCAACAATGGAGGCTGCAGTAACCTGTGTCTGCTCTCACCTGGAGGAGGCTACAAGTGTGCCTGCCCCACTAACTTCTATCTAGCAGCTGATGGCAGGCAGTGCTTGTCCAACTGCACTGCAAGTCAGGTGAGCCTACGTGAGCCTGTTGTTTTAGATATTTGCCTGTATTGAAACATTATTAAATTTTAAAAAATTAACTAATTTCTCTTCTCTCCCTTCAGTTCGTCTGCAAAAATGACAAGTGCATTCCATTTTGGTGGAAGTGTGACACTGAAGATGACTGTGGAGACCGCTCAGATGAACCTGCAGATTGCCGTGAGTGATGATTTTAGCCTGACTTAATAACGTGTCATTGTTGCAGTATATTGCTTTGTTTGTTCTGGTTAGTAATGTGCTGTGTTTTGTCTCTGTAGCTGAGTTTAAGTGCAGACCAGGTCAGTTCCAATGTGGTACAGGCATCTGCACCAACCCGGCCTACATCTGTGATGGAGACAATGACTGTCAAGACAACTCGGATGAGGCCAACTGCGGTAAACACACACCTACACATACTTTTAAACATTTAAATATTTTTCTTAGGTGTACCTATAGTAACCTGTATCTTCTGTTACCCACTGTTTTTCCAGACATCCATGTGTGCCTGCCAAGTCAGTTTAAATGTACCCACCCAAGTCGATGCATCCCTGGCATCTTCCGTTGCAATGGACAGGACAACTGTGGAGAGGGAGAGGATGAGAAGGACTGTCGTGAGTCTAATTGCCTTTCTAGTTCCCATGGGCCCAAATGGTTATTTGTCAATTTTTGCCCTGCTAGTGGTAGCGCTTACAATATGTCTGTTCATTTATCTGAACAAGACTTTGGTCCAGAGCAAGATATGTCTACAACTTGAAGCATGACTAAATTTTGAACCCACCAGATGAACCCTACTGTTTTTAGTGACCTCTTGACCTTCAATCTTTGCTTCCCTTAAGCCACAGTGTCCACTTGCACATACTGTATTTCAAAATTTAATGAGCAGATAGGACATTGCTAAACACTTTCACACTCCCCAGAGGATCTCTGTCCATTTTGACCTTTCCTTTAGTGACGCCCTTAGGCCAAATGATGTTGCATAATGTAATTGCCATGACATTTGCTGAGCACATTCATGCTCCACAGAGGGAGATTACATGAACTATGCTGTCGTGCCATCCCAAGGTCAAAATTTACATTTTAGCACCTTTAACTGCACGGCTGTGAGAATAGCAAAAATCACCATGCTATGTTGTTATGAATGTTGCATGGGGACCCTAGCAGGACTTTAGCATTGTAATAATTTTAACATGTGAAAGTTGGGATTAGGTAGCAAGTCTGTTGCATCTGTCTGTGTCCTGTGTAGCGGAAGTGACATGTGCCCCCAACCAGTTCCAGTGTGCCATCACCAAGCGCTGCATCCCACGGGTGTGGGTGTGTGACAGGGACAATGACTGTGTGGATGGATCTGATGAGCCTGCCAACTGCAGTAAGACACAACTCATTATTACAGTGCAAATATTTCTCAAGAAATACGTCTCCTCTACAGCATGAACATGCTTCTATAATAGGACCTGACGTCGGTTATATAGATTTAAAAAAATACATATATGGAGAATATTACAGTGGTGTTTAGTGTTTAGTTTAAAAAGGAGACCTAAAATTATACAGCCACAACAGAACTGACTGCAGGAGAGTGTTGTTGGTCACTTCCTGCGTCATTATTCAGCTGTTCATTAATTTAAACTTTTCAATATTAGTAATAACACTATTATCTATTTGTTATCTCTGTAATTCTCTTACAGAAACAGTGAGTGAATAATCCCATGCCCAGTGCCGAAGTGTCTAATCCATTAAATCCTCTCTATTGCAGCTCAAATGACTTGTGGTGTGGATGAGTTCCGCTGCAAGGACTCAGGGCGCTGCATCCCAGCACGCTGGAAGTGTGATGGAGAAGATGACTGCGGAGACGCTTCAGATGAACCCAAGGAAGAGTGTGGTAAGGACGAAGTGGTAGATGGACAAAAAAGGGCGGGACCTTGGCAGTGGGGCCATGCTTGTACTCACTGCGTCTGTTTGGTGCTCAGACGAACGAACATGTGAGCCGTACCAGTTCCGCTGTAAGAACAACCGCTGCGTGCCTGGACGCTGGCAGTGTGACTACGACAATGACTGTGGGGACAACTCAGATGAAGACAAGTGTGGTAGGTTCCCTCTGCTTTTTCTACAGCCACATCCACAGCTCATTGTCTGTATGAAAACAGTGATTTATAACATGATATGAGCTCTACTGTAAGCAGACTGTTGAGATTCTACAGGTTCTAGTGGTAAGCAATGTATCACCTTTCACTGTGTGTTTGTCTGTTATATTTACTCAACCACATGCATGGTTGAGACTTTGATTTCTTTTCACGTTAATTAGTTGTGTGGCCATTTGCACATCTCACATCATCTCATGTCTATTTTGCATTTCACACTGGCCTGTTGATGTGAGCCAGAGGTAGGTGTTTTCACAGTTTCAGCCTAACCATCCACAACCTCAGCTACCCAGTCCCCTGTGTACCCCCAGCTTGTTTCTTTTTTGTTCTGTGAGCCTTTTCCTTCCCTTTTCAATCCCACTAGCTCTTCTACTACATATAGTACAGAATGTTGTACCATCCCCACCTCAGTGCCCCATGAATCAATATTGTGATATGAATGATCAACCTTATTTTTTATTCATGTGCGTCTGGCTCTCAACAAAGCACCCCGTGTTATTTTTGCAGTCTGCTCTATTCCCACCTTTCTCTTCTCTTCCCTTAAGCCTCTCCTTGCTCCTTGCCTCTGCTCTCTGTTCCTGCTCAATTATCTTCTCTCGCCCTCCTAAGCTGTCTGCTCTCTGTCCTCAGTGCCTCGTCAGTGTTCAGAGAGTGAGTTTGCCTGTACAAATGGCCGTTGTATCGCCGGGCGCTGGAAGTGTGATGGAGACCACGACTGCGCTGATGGTTCAGATGAGGTATATCTCAACCATTTCCTTCCACATTAACATTCTGCTTTGAAATTTGACATACCAGGGCCACTAACGAAAAAAAAAAATATTTGCTTTGGTCCAGAATGGCTGTGATGTGAAGTGTGACAGTGATCAGTTCCAGTGCAAAAATGGCCATTGCATCCCCATCCGCTGGCGCTGTGATGCTGATGCTGACTGTGTGGATGGCAGTGATGAGGAGAAATGCGACAGTGGTAGTAAGAAACAGACACAAATGTTCTCCCGGATGCTTAGACAAACATATAATGCTGAAGATGTGGATGCATTCATTCCTCTTTCTGCTTCTCTCACCATCGTGTTTCAGTGGGTAGACACTGCCCCCTGGATGAGTTCCAGTGCAACAACACTCTTTGTAAACCCCTGGGCTGGAAGTGTGATGGCGAGGATGACTGTGGCGACAACTCAGATGAGAATCCAGAAGAGTGCGGTGAGGGTCACTGCGTTTCACATGTAGCCAGTGTTCCTGAACACCGTCGGACACTTTAATTAAATACGGTCTTCTCTCTTCCATAATGTTTATCTCCTTCTGTCCCATAGTTAAATTCCAGTGTCCACCCATGAGGCAGTTTCGCTGTCATAATGATCGCGTGTGTCTACCATTGTCAAAACGCTGTGATGGCGTCAACAACTGTGGGGACAACAGTGATGAAGTCAACTGCCGTGAGTTTTACTAACTAACTAACTCAAATCAACAATTCAAGAACATATTTTATCAGAATAGGGAGGGACTCTAAATCATGGACTGGGCTGATATTTGCATGTCAGTGTAATGACCTCTCTGCGAACCCTATACTTCTCCCACAGTGCCTCCTTCACCACCAATATGTCAAAAGGATGAGTTCCAGTGCTCTAACGGCCGTTGCATCAGCACTGTCCTCCGCTGCAACTACTACAACGACTGCGAGGACTACGGTTCTGATGAAATCCACTGCAATAAGAAAGGTGCGTTGTGTCACTGTATAGTTTCCTTAATGACATTCTGTGGGGTCATCAATGTGAACGCATGCTACCCGTTTCTGTGCTCACAGACACGGTGCTGAATGACTGCCGCAGTAACAGGACAGTGTGTGGAGACGGAGATGAAGCTCATTGTGTGGTGAATGGCACCGACTCTTTCTGCTCCTGCAAACCCGGCTTCCAATCTAATGGACGGAACAGATGTGAAGGTAGAAATTTCTTTGCCCTTGCCCAATTTTGCAGGTTTTATGTTGTGGCTAAAATCTGCTCCTGAGGATTTTAAAACTACGTGTAATGGGTGTTGTCTTTGGGTGTTTCACAGATAAGAACGAGTGTAAGCAGTTTGGAGTGTGTTCCCACATCTGCAACAACACTAAGGGATCCCACAAGTGCAGCTGCCACAAGTACTTCACCAGAATCAATGAGACCTGCAAGGCTGATGGTGAGTTCTTTTACCATAAGTGACACTTGTTAGCTTTCCAAGCTTGTGTTTATCTAGTTTTTCACGTCTCTTGTCTCTACTACAATCATCTGCATCCCCAGCTCCGAGACAAGTGCTTTACATCGCTGACGACAGTGAGATCCGCAGCCTGGACCCTTCCATGCCGAACTGGCGCTATGAGCAGATCTTCCAGGGTGACGCCAACGTGCGCATTGATGCCATGGACCTTCATGTGAAAACAAACCGCATTTACTGGACAAACTGGCACACAGGACGCATTTCTTCCTATGATTTGCCTTCTTCCTCCTCCTCCCCCAATAGCAACCGTAACCGACGCCAGAGTGACTCAAGGGTTACAAACGTAGAGGTAAGTGTGTATATGTTTGCTTGTACTTACGTATGCATATGATGTAAACATAAACAAGACAGGCAAAGCATGTGTGTGCAATTTTGGAGGGTCTTAGTGCTGTTTTTCTCTGCCTCTGTGTTCAGATCCCTGATCTGAAGATGCCCCGTGGCATTGCAGTGGACTGGGTGGCAGGGAACTTGTACTGGACTGACTCTGGAAGAGACGTCATTGAGGTGGCCCAGATAAGTGGAGGACGCCACCGCAAAACTCTCATCTCCGGCATGATCGATGAGCCTTACGCCATTGTAGTCGACCCCCAGAGAGGGTGAGCGGGTCTTGTACAAAATCACTAGTATGCAAATGGAGATTTAAATGCGATAACAGCAGTGATAAATGGAGCTTTTACTTTTTCCTTATTAGGAAAATGTACTGGGCAGACTGGGGGAACCACCCAAAGATTGAAACCGCTGCTATGGATGGAACCATGAGAGAGACGCTGGTGGAGGAAAACATCCAGTGGCCAACTGGTAAAACATGCACACACTCAATCATCCTTAATAGTCTGTTTTATACTAAGTACAAGTATGACTCTTTAATTCTTCAAACAATTTCTAATACTGCTTTCTCTCTCTCACTCTCTCTGTATAGGTCTAGCGGTGGACTACTTCAACGAGCGTCTGTACTGGGCCGATGCTAAACTTTCCTTGATCTGCAGTGTGAGACTGAATGGCAGCGATGCAGTTGTAGCTGTAAACAGCATTAAGAACAGTTGAGTGGCACATGCTAATCCATACTAATGATCAGTCTCTGTTAGTCAAGACAGGATAGTGCAAAAATGTGTAGTTTTAGTATGTATACTGTCTGTGAAGCTTCTTTAACCTCACTTCCTGTTTCTACGCAGAGCTTCACCACCCCTTCAGCATCGATGTATTCGAGGACTACGTCTATGGCGTCACCTACATCAACAACTACGTCTTCCGAGTGAATAAGTTCGGCAAAGGCCCCATTGAGAACCTGACAACAGGAATGAACCACGCCACAGATATCGTTTTGTACCACCGCTACAAGCAACCAGAGAGTGAGTAGAAAACAGACAAAACTCTCACTACTCAATTAAAACAAAGAAGAGAGGACTAAAGCTGCTAGTTGTTTTTCCCTCATTTCTAATAATGGTTCTCTCTCTGTCTTTGTCAGTGACTAATCCCTGCGACAGGAAGAAATGTGAATGGCTTTGTCTGCTGAGCCCCAGTGGACCAGTCTGCACCTGTCCCAATGGACGCACGCTGGACAACGGCACATGTGTGGAACTGCCGACTCCCACTCTGTCTCCTCTCTGTGAGTAAACGCACACTCCTACATACAGAACACACACACAGACACTGACATCTAAACCCTCCTGCGTGACCGAAAAACATCATCACCTACAGCTCCTCCCAGTGGCCCCTGCTTGGTCCAGTGTATGAACGGTGGTAGCTGTTTCCTGAATGCCCACAAGCAACCCAAGTGTCGCTGCCAGCCTAATTATGGAGGCGATCGATGTGAGATTGACCAGTGCAGAGACTACTGCAAGAATGGAGGCACATGCACACCCTCCCCTACAGGTAAGATATGGACATTGCAAGCTGTTTTTTTGCATTTTGTGTTAGCTTTCTCTTGCTAGTTCAGTAAGATAACATTGTAGTTGCTGCAATGCAGGCTAAAATATGGCTTTGCAGGTCACTTTTGGTGGCCCAATAACATGACACATCTACTTATGCCTACATATGTCTGTCCTTCCACAGGCTCTCCTACCTGTCGATGCCTGACGGGCTTTACAGGGCCAAACTGTAACCTGCACACCTGTAAGGATTACTGCAAAAATGGAGGCAACTGCACAGTCAGTGCCGGAAACCAGCCAACCTGCCACTGCCCCTCTGACTTCCTGGGCGACCAATGCCAGTACAGTGAGTGTCCCCACTATCTAGCCCACATGCTGATCAATAAGGAATAATAAAGAATAAAGCCAGAATCACAATCACAGTACCTGTATTACATTATGATGTGGTTGGTAAGCAATGCACTTAATGTTTATGTGTGTGTGTGTGTGTGTGTGTGTCTGTGTCTGTGTGTGTGTCTGTGTGTGTGTGTGTGTGTGTGTTTGTGTGAGCAGGAAGTTGCGAAGGCCACTGCCTGAACAAAGGCACATGTCTACAGAGTGAAAATGGCTCCAAACTGTGCCGCTGTTTGCCTCAGTATATTGGCAGCACATGTGAGATTGACAAGTGTCACTATTGTCGTGACGGCGAGTGTATCCCCAGCAACAGTTTTACATCTACAGGGGACTTCACCTGCCGGTAAGAGCACTCACACACGCATCATTTACTCAACACAAACAGACTAACACATGCATGGTTGTCTCTTCTTCCTTTTTGCTACACACATTTTTTTTCTGTCTTCTATAGCTGCACAAATGGAAGAATCCAGCCCAGCTGTTACACATGTGATACAAATGAGTACTGTGCAAATGGCCAGTGCTCTATAAACCCCATCACCCGCCTTCCAGAGTGCAGGTGAGGAGCAGTGTTTTCATCCATAAGTGATGCTGAATATCTCCAATGTATCACTGCATACATGCATACATATCTGTTTTTCCTCTCTTCTTGTGTTTGTGTGTGTGTGTGTGTGTGTGTGTGTGTGTTTGTGTGTGTGTGTGTGTGTGTGTGTGTGTAGATGTTCACCTGGCTGGGAGGGGCATCGCTGTGAGTCTGTGGCCACCAGTGGAGGTGCCTCAGGTTCAGGCGGGCGTAAGTTGACACTTTACCGCAACATCAATAATAGAACTTTCTTTAAGTTCATATGATCAAGGTTTCTCTAGGCACCATTCTTATGTTTCTGTGTGTTTGTGTACGCAGGCACAGCCTCCATAGTGATCCCTGTGCTGCTACTGTTGCTGCTGGTTCTGCTGGCTGCAGGAGCGTTGTTCTGGTATAGAAGAAGGATGAGAGGGTGAGTAACAGAAACGCATTCAAAGCAAGAGACAATCTTTTTGCCTTTGCATTCGCTCTTTCCCTCCCTCTTTCTCTTCCTTCTTTCTCTTCCTTCTTTCTGTTCCTCCGTTTGCACTTTTCCTCTCCTCTCTGTAATGGCATCTCTTCTGCTCCTCAGGTCTAGCCGGCCCGCCAAAACCGGCTCAAGACGCTTGCGGTAACGGTTGCCAGGGTTAAACTTTCCTTCCATTCCCTCATTCAATTCTGCATCCTGATGCTCTCTCTCTTTCCTTGTCTTTCCCTTACCCATAAGTCTTGGTTGCTGTGCAGTGTTTGGTCCTGTGGTGAATGTCGCGCCATTCTCTCAGATGTTGGTGGGAGCTGTAGCTCATCCTGCTCCTACAGTATCTCTCGTGTTTAATTGCCCTCGTCAGAGCGGCTCCAGGGCAGATCTATTGCAAAGATGCATTGAATAGATCTGTCATACTGTTGTCCATCATATTGTGCCATATTGTACTTACTGTACTGTGCTGTGGTTTGTATTGTGGTAGTGTCTCTCATAGTGAGAGATGGACAGTGTGATAGCATTCTTCCAAGTTCAGATTGGAAAATGCAATGTGTAAAATCCAGCATTTACTTAGAGGTAGATACCATAGTCAATGCACACATTCATTCACAGCATATTTTAGACGATCTATTGTGGATTTATTGATGTCTTGGGGATAGTCCGTACATTAACAGCCCCATATCCAGGTCTACTGTGCCTGGATCTGTCATGGGCTACATGAATGCTGGGTTTGTGTTGGTGCCTGTGCTGTGGCTTAGTTCTCTTAGCCTGGATGGTGGTGAGAGTCATGTGATGCCTCTTCCCTCCCTTCATAATGTGGCTGTGTCCCTGCTTGCACTGTTAGGTTCTTATAACCTTGAATGAGACACAAAGGTATGACTGTGCCCTTCATATTTTGTGTAGGGCCAAGGGCTTCCAGCACCAAAGGATGACCAACGGGGCCATGAATGTTGAGATTGGAAACCCTGCCTACAAGATCTACGAGGGCGAGCCTGATGACGACGCCGGGGAGCTGCTGGACGCAGACTTCACCCTGGACCCAGACAAGGTAGAGAAAAATACCTGCCGTGTATGTGTACGCAAATATTTGAGCTTCTGCACAAATAAAGCTATATTATATCTAATGGATGTTTTTTTTTTTTTACCTTTTCCAGCCCACCAACTTCACAAACCCAGTATATGCCACTCTGTACATGGGAGCTCAGAACAGTCGCAACTCTCTGGCCAGCACGGATGAGAAGAAGGAGTTGCTATCACGCGGAGACGAGGAGCCCCTTGTGGACCCCCTGGCATAGACTTTCCATTGGCCTGGATCACGCTACTCCAAACACACCCCTCTTCTTGCCTTTAAAGAAAAAACTAAACAAAAAAAATTCGATAAAAAGTGTGAAAGAAAATTGATAAAAAGTGTGAACACTGTATAAAATGTACAAAAATGAAGGACTACTTTTGTATGTGATTGCAGTATTATATTTTGTTCTTTTGAGATTCTTCTGGTCAAAAATGAATAACATTTTCTATGAGAGATTTTTAATTTACACTTTGTCCCTTACCCTTTACCTAAATAGCCACTACCTCTGTGCAAAATGAAATGGAAACAAGAAAATCAGAAGAAAAGATGCTATCATTGGAGCAATTTTAATTTTTTATTTTTGTATGAATTGTATAGAAAAGAAAAAACATTGTTCCATTTCACCAGTGCCAACTGTTTGTTGTTTGTGTTGACTTTGAGCGGGAAAGGCAAAACTCAAAGTTTTCTAAATCGGTACATATGTTGTCTCGCTGGATTTCTTAGCGAGATTGTGTGAGACAGATTTGTGATAGCACCGTTTGTGTATAGCACATGTAAAATGTCAATACCAGATGGCAACTACAGTATTTCCACATATTTTTTTCTCAGAGAACAATGTTCATGAAATGATTGTGTTGTCTTCCTTGCACAGAATTAATATTTTACGGTATAGTGTATACTGTAGGCTTTATACCGTAAGATGTAAAGCAGGTATGTTAGTTTTTATCACATTGTATGACAGTTGGAGCTCATGTGTTGCTGAAGTGAGAGGATGAGAGTTGTTTCGGTGTGTGATTATGGAGCTGGAAAGTAAGGAAGTTGGTCACGGGTTAAACATTCCAGGCGGAGTGGTGGGTGGAGATTGCAGGTGTAAAGAGATGATGAGGGTGAATGCCTTCATCAGGGGGGCTATTGGCGTACATGTGCGTATATGCCACAACTGGCTAATGAGGAGACGGCCATAGCAGGTACAACTTTGATAGATGGTGTCATGCCTTTACCATTTAGTTGTCTGTTACAAGGGTCTTCCTCCAGAAGGAAAGGGAGGCTGCAATTGTGGTAAAACGGAAGGAAAAAAGATGATTGAGATGGGTCTTTTGCTTGTCTTTTATTTCTCCAGCCCATTGTTTTTTGTTTTTTTTGTAAAGACCAGATTAACACCTATCTGGATTTGTGAGTAGATTTATCTTTCTACCTTTAGAGGATCAAAGTCTGTACGTTCACAGTTTTGTAATGACTCAGTCTTAAGTGCTTTATGTTCATTTGGTCCTTTCTCTGGTCTTCTTGAGCTCTTTCTAATCTCTCACTCTCCTCTGTGCCCTGCTGCTGCTAATGCTACCATTCTGGTCGCTCTGACACGTCCTTACGCTCAGCCTCTGTCCCAAAATGCTGCTTCTGTCAGAAATGTGTCAGCCATATCTTAATGCATGTGAAAAGTAACACCAATCTTTAATGTAACTACAATAACAAGTCTTTATTTTGCTTACCTGTCAGCAAGTGTTATTTTATGCTGTTGTATATGTTTTGTCGTTAATTGAGAGAGAAGTACAATCATTTTACCTAAAGAACATTTTTGCAAAAATCATACATGCATTTTCAGAATTGTTTTTTGATTAGTCCTTGTTTTTTTTAATGAAAAATGACACATAGCTTTTATAGTACACAATGCATGGAGGCTCAGACTTTCTTCTGGAAAGAGAATAATGTTTAATTTTTGCTGGAGTACTTTACAAACTAAATAACAGATATTGTTATAAATAAAATTTTAAAAATTGTACAGAAAATAAGCCAGTGTGCTTTGTGTTTTGTTCACATGTGCCAGATAAAGTTTTTCTTGACAATACTATGGGGCAGCACTTAGTTACAGTCATATAAGCTCAGAGTTTCAGGCAATTTGACTACATTATAAAGCCACAGCCCATAAGTAACAAATCAAGTTCAAATCAAGTAGAATTTTTTTTTTTTACAGAAAATACATCTTCTGAAAGTGTTCATTACATGTTCAATCAACATCACTGTGCATGTATTTATCAGCCGCAGCAACAAGAAATGTGACCATTATTAGACTATATGCATGTAGATGAGAATTAAATTAGAAAAAATAGACACGATGCAGAAAAAATTACTGAAAGTCAGTCCCACTTTGAATCTGGTAAACCCTCTTTGAAGTATTGTACAGTTTATCATACCAACAGTTGAGTTGAAACTAAAACACACCTAGGTTTACCTGAGTGAAAAACAATTCCACAACAATTTATTTTATAACAAACCATTTATTCTGCAAACTGTAAATCAGATCATGTTTACTGTAGACATGAATTTGAACGCATGGATGCAAATGTCATTCTTATACCATTATACATGGAAAAACTATAAATCAACTAAACAATGAGAAAATCTTTACTCAAAAAAGGTTATACCGTAAATAATACCGTATATGTTGCCAAACCATAAACTCTTGAGATGTAAATGCTATCTGGTGCACCTCAAAGCAACTATTAGTGATAATATGAAACATTGCAATAGAAGAAGAGAGACATCATACAATTGGCTGCATTCATAATCATCTTAATGTTTTTGTATGACAACAAGTAATCTCAGCCACTTTTTATTAAAGGCTACGTTCACACTCCAGGCTAAAGTGGCCAGAATCTGGATTTTTTGCTCATATGTGGCTCAGATCTGATTTTCTCATGACAGTGTGAATGGCAAAAACCACACAGAATCTAATCTTTTCAATTCTGATTTGGGCCACTTTCAAATGTGGTCCAAATCAGATACAGGTCTGATTTTATGCAATACAACCTCAGTGTGAACAGTCATATTAGAGTTCATGTGACTTTTATGTTGCCTTAAGCTACTCTCTTATTTTTCTCAGGTAGCCAGGGTCAGGATACCCAAAACTGTGGAACCAAAGTATGTACAAGGGTTAATGTATAACATTGAAGTAGACTCGGCATCAAAAGAAATATATCTTGAAAAGAGCGTAGAGATTTGACTACTCTACCGCTCTGGTCCTTCTGACGTTGAGGTTTTGGGGTGCTTCAGTGTTGTACAGTGTTGCGCGTGGTGTATCCTGATTGTCTATTCAACACAGGTCCACTGGAGGCCTCTGACCGAGACAGAGAGCCACTGAACCCGGTGGCACCATGGTGTTGGATGAAGTTCATGGATGATGTGGCAATCTTCTGGTACAGATGAAGAAGAGCTCTGACAGCATGGCTCTCCATTGCTGCGTTTCCTCCAGATCTTTTATAGTGAGCTTTGACTTTGACTTTTCCTTGACTGATGCCAGATTCCTTAAAGTCCACACCAAACTTAGCTTTGATCTTAGACACATCCTCATTGAACAAAGTAGTCATCAGCTTCCAGTAGTTCTCCTCTATGGTTAACCCAGCATCAACGAGAGGGTCTTTGATGCTCCTGCCAATGTTCATTGGTGTTTCTTGAGACGCCCCAGAAGACTCTCCAGCCAAAGTGTAGGCATTTAAGGTTTTCTGTGCTACATTTAAGGACTTACAGATGACATCTTGACTTTGTCTTGGCCCACATACGTTCATTTCTTCAGAGGATACAGTAAGCAAGAGTTTGTTCTCAGGTCTCTGGATGGTTTTCAGTGTGTCCTTAAACTCTTCTGGATCTATGTACTTGAGAGGAATAACTGAGCCTTCAGATTCACCTAAACACTTCTGGACAAGAGTAATGAAGTCAGAGTGAGCTTTTGGTTGGCCTCCATCTTTCTGGTTTGCTTCAAATGTCACATTGACCTCTGCCTTGATTTGAACTCCATTCTCTTTCTCGATACGTTTAATTTCTTCCTTGTAGATGTGGTTCACAAACCAGAAATGACCCACTGGAATAGATAAAGGAGATGTCTCCTCTCCTGCTGCAGAAACTGCTGCTGAACTGCTGGAACTACTTCGTTCCACCAGTTGCATTTGCTCCTGAACAAAACACAATGTATTTATTTAGTAAAAGGCGTTAATGTGCTGAATGTAATTCCTTCCTAATGATTTACTACACAGCACATACATGTTGTGGCTTTGACACAGCTGAAGGAGGAAGAGTCATTGAAGCATTGTCTGGTATTTGCGTTTCCAGCTCTGGTAGTGTCAGACTAACAGACATTATTGTGACTGTCTCCTCTTTTTTCCTGGTCAGTGTTTGTCCACTTAGTTTCTGAAGCTCAATCAAGGCTTAAAAGAAGAAAAACAAAAATTAGTTTTCTACAAAAGTAAAAACAGCAAACTGAATTGCAAAACCCATATTTATAAAAGATGTGCGATTTAATTTTAAATAAAAACAGAATAACAGTCATACTGCACCTGGAGCAGGTTTAATCTTTATCACAGCTCTCCCATCCTCTAAGACATTTAAAACTGTGTAGTCTCGATCACATTTGGTTCTGTTGGCCCAAGTCTGAAGAACTTTTTGGAGTTCTACTTTACGTTTCTGCAGTTTAATACCCTCTGGCCACTTGACTGAGAGGGTGACTTGAACTTCGTTTATGTTCTGTGATAAAGTCAGAGCAAAAAAACATGTTACAGTTAATGCAACTGTATCACACAATACAAAGAGAATGACAGTGCAAAAGATATCATATTGGAGATAGGTGGAGTAAAATAACATTGCTTTGATTACATCAGGGCTGATACAGTGCTAATAATGTAGTTGCTGTGAAAAAAGCAGAAAATGACCAAAGAGGACAGCCTCAATACAGCAGAGAGCAGCAGGCTACACTTTACAGAAAAATATACAGGACTGTTGGAACTCAACCTGGATTTTCTATGAGCCAATGTCTTTGAAATAGGAAGCCATTGTTTCCTCAATACACATAAGATCACACCAATACCTACCCCAGCACACGTATCATGAGATGTTGAAGGCTGCTCAGAACACTATGACAAAAGACAGGACATATAAATACAAAAGAGAATTGCAGCAATTAATACTTCAAAACACAAACAATTTTAAACAACTTTAGATTCCAGACTTGACTGATTCAACCACTCACAACCTTCATGCGGCCAAGGTTCACTGATGACCCAGAAGACTCTCCAGCAGAAGTGTAGGTATTTGTTAGGGGTTCCTGACATTCATCTAAGGACTTAGTGATGTCATCTTCACTGGGTTCTGGCACAGTCACTTTTTCAGAGGATGTAGTATCCACAGGCTTGTTTTCAGGTCCCTGGATGAAAACATGTTACAGTTAATGTCACTGTATTACTAAGAAAGCAGGTGGTGTTTTTTTCAGTAGCTCACAAATACACACACACACACACACACACACACACACACAAATATCTACCTCAGCAGATGTATCGTCAGATGTTGGATAATCCTGCCACTGTATGACAAATAATTATTACTGACTATTGACAATAGACCTAAATACCTAAAAACACTAGTTTTTACTATTGCTATTGAAGATGGTCACTGTGAATATTTACAACAAATCAACATTATTTAATACCATAGTCCTCTTATACGTAACAGTTTTCTTTCACACTGTTCAAATGTTCAGCTTTAGTTTGCAGACATGGCTGATACAGATACTCACACTGTCAATGTCCATGGGCTCCTCTGTGTCACTGGCTGACATTTTGAGTCTTCTTCCTTTAAGAAAACCTATTTGTGACATAAATGACAGCAATGTTTGTTGTAGTCATTCTTCCGGTTCAAACCATCGACAATTCTTGATTTGGTGTATTTATATAAAACCTGCACTCAGAAATGACTTGTCAAATGTCGACATTATATTAAAGCGACGCTATCGCCCGACTCCACTTTCGCTTACGACAACCTAACGCAAACTTTTATAGGCTGTCAGTTAGCTCTCCGTTTACATAGTTTCTTACATTTAACACAAAGTTATGCAACAAACATGTAAAACATGAATTCATGAAGCATAATTACCTTCAGCTGGCTTTCGGCTCTGAACGCTGCTTCTTCCTGATAAATGAAAGTGAAACTGTTGAGGCTCCGCGAGACACGTGACGTCACATGAACCCGTACCATTAATGCAGCTGCAGACTTTTCAGTATTAATGAGTATATATATTGATAAATCATCAGCCTGTTGCTGTTGAGATAAACATCTTTGAAAGGTATTTTTTACTCAAGTATTGCTCTGAAGTACAATTTGAAGGTACTATTTTACTTTACTACATTCGAGGGGGGTATATTGTTTTTACTCTACATTTATTTGTCAGCTTTAGTTATTACTACTACAACAGATTCAGAATATTAATACATAATATCATCAATTGAAGGAGGTGTAATCTTCATCACAACATTCCCATCTGTTGAGGCACTTAAAACTGCACAGTCTGCTGTGTCATTATTTCTGCTGAACCAAACCTGGAGAAGTTACTGTAAATCCACTTTTAAATGACCACTTCCCATATATAGATGCCAGCTATGTTTGTTGTAGTCATTCTGCCTGTTAAAAAAAAAACCCAACCGTAATTCAAAGCATGTAACTAGATTATCCCCAACTAATTTAGTAGATAAGCAGATAATAGATAAGGCTAGGATACTGGGTAAAGTTAGCAACAGTCTACTGTTTGTAAAATTCTGTTCTGATAATGCTATATCATCTAGTGTTGTGGAAATTATGTTAGAGAAAAATCTTCTTAACGCTTTTGCGTGGTGGTGGGAGTAAGATATTAATGGCAAATAATATTATGTGATTGTAGTGGTGGTGATATGATTATATCTATTTTGGAATACGAGCTATGTAATAAAGTTAAAATTCTCAGAATTATTAATATTTTAATAATTATTTTTTGTCATATTTGTTGTGGATTTACAGTGCATTTGAGACTTCTTAAACAAAAACGTAACTTCAGGGTTGAGTGTTTTTAGGTTTTGTGATTCTGTTGACTGCTACCTGTCTATATCATGTTGCAGCTCAGGTTATTTTGGATTGATGGGAAGGACCTAAATGAGGTTGATAACACAAGGTAAGTCCAAAATAGGCCATTCATTTAAAAGATGAATATAATATACTAAACATGTATTCTATTACTGTATTATGTAAGTAATCGTGTTAGTAATATTAATGTGGGGGCACTGGGTGCTGCGTGGTGGAGGAGCTGAGCGGACCATTGTGTGACTGAAAACATAACAATGTATGTTTCAAATAAGCCAGCAATAAGAAATCATTCTGAGTATGTGTATCATACTGCCATATTCTATAAGGAATCATACTAAACATTTTGTATAAGTAATCATACTGAACATGTAATATATACCATATATCCAGGGTGGGAAATTAGAACCTGGCTGGCAAAATAAAAAAGGGAATAAAAAGGTAGATTTCAGACACAAACTAATGATTTAATATTGAGTGGTCGATTTGTTCACATTTATAAAAGTTAATTTCCACTCATTGCATGCTGCATGCCAGGAGTGCTGCAGGGTGAGGACAAGTAACGTTACAGGTCACTGCAAAGTAAACTGAGTTTATATCCTAAACACAACTATTCAGTTTTGTCCAACCATATACATATGCCATAGTGGTTGACTGTACAGTATTAGGGAATACAACTGAACAATACTCATTACATATCTAATAGACAACCTCGAACATATATGAATACAGAAGCTGTTGATGATCAAAACAAAGACAACGCCTCACCTTCCAAGACAATTTCCTGTCCATGGTGTTCATGTTATGTCATAGTAAAAAGACTAAAGATACATAAAATATGTTATTATGATAACATAATATAAAACTTATTAATATACATACTGTACGTGTATGTATGGATGTGACGTGTTCACCCTTTTTAAATATGGTAAATGGTAAATGGACCTTGTATAGCGCCTTTCTAGTCTTCCGACCACTCAAAGCGCTTTTACACTATGTGCCACATTTGCCCTTTCACACACAATCACTCAGTGATGGCAAAGCCCATTGAACAGAAACTAACGCATTCATACACATTCATACACCAATGCACCGCACCGGCAGCAATTTGAGGTTCAGTATCTTGCTCAAGGATACTTCGACACGTGGCTGGAGGAGCCGGGGATCATACCATCAACCTTCTGATTAGTGGATGACCTGCTCTGCCTCTGAGCCACAGCCTATATCAGATGTCTGCTCATGCCAACCTAAGAAAAAGTTCTGCTTTTTGCACGGAAAAACAGACAATAATAATCTTTTTTGCTCAGGAAGGTTACCATCTGAGTGAAAGGACCATCTCCTTTTATATCTAAAGGATGGTCCTTTCTTTATGGCAGCAACATTAAAAAAGCAAGCTGTTCACGAATACAAACGATCAAAGGATCAGCTCCTAAATTGCCGTCCCGTTTTTATCTCATACCATAACTATGGAGCTGTTATTGTAGCGGAACTAATTACAAATGTGCGTGGAGAGTTGTTTAACTGTATCTCAGGGTTGGGGCCTCGTGGGAGACAGGCCTGTGTTTGTACGCCAAGGAGTCCCTTTCCTAGTTCTAGCTGAGGCCAAGTCTTGATTCCTGAGGGTTGGACTTATCTTGTGCTGGACACAGGTCCAGCTTCAAGCAATGCTACAGCATGCTGATCCTGCTTTGACCGGGTCACCACTCTCTCATGCCAGTAAGGGACAGTATCTACTCAACATGCTTGGATAGCTTGTCCAGCAGTGGTGGAGGTGAGGTGGCCAGTGCTAGTAGGCACAGTAGGCTTTTCCCTTAGCTTTATTCTTTGAGGTGGTTAGGTGACAGCGTGCTAGGCACCGCCGCCTCAGTGGTTGCCAAGGGATGGTGGGCTGGATAGGCTAGGATGCTGTGATATAGACCGTGGAAGCTTACTAGGCACATAGACGGAGTCCTTTGGGTCTTAGTAGGGTCGGCTACCATATATATATTATATATATACATATATATGTAACTCTATTAAGCTTTTTCTAGTAACAAACAGGCATCATCAATGGATATGGATGCTAAGCATACCTAACAATAAATCCATCCAAGCAACATATATGAACAGAAAAGAGAGATAGAAGGAAAAAACAAACAAACAAATAACCAAAACACGCAAGTAGTTTAGAAAGTCTTAAAGCAGTTGTCCAGTTGTCTTAATGATTTGACAACAAGTACATATATAACTACCTAAATTATATCTTACTCTTAAGAATTCACTGCCTGGATATATACCGTTAATTGTTTTTAAATTAACCTCCTTCGTTTTAGGAAACAATGGAAATGAGAGATATCTAGTTCAAACTTTGACAGTGTCCACTGTCCACACTGGAAAACCTTTGAGATAAAACCTTTCTTTTAACAGGAAGAGGAAAGCATTATTTTGTAATTAGTGATCTTGAAATTTTGTTATCAAGTTTACCATCTAAAATTATAGACAGATTAGCAGATGTAGGCATTACAGAAGAATAGTGTAACATCCTTTTATATCAGATTCATCAAAGCCACAGAAATAACGTTGACCAATAAAAAATATTATATATGAGCAATCCAAAGTCAATATAGTTTTGAAATCAGTTTTGAAATCAAACTGAATATATTCCCGCATTAATCACTTCAATGTACTATAGACCAAACAATTTTTTTCCATCCAATCTTTCTAAAAATAAAGATTTAAGTCACATAAATGTTAGATCATCTTTAGGCTGCCTGCAGTTTGCAGTCCACATTCGAATATTTAATTAAACCGTATTATTATTATCAACCACACAAGATCTGTTCGTTAACAGATTAAACCTTCATTGCACAACAGCAACAAGAGTTAAATTAAAAAAAATCACACAGGAAATTAGGAAAACGTGGGGTTTGTTGTCAAAACTAAGAGCCAATCAGCTTTGTTCAGCTGACAGCGAGGCGTTTCCCACCGTGCCCTGGGTTTTGACCATAGTCAGTGGAGAGTGCTTCAATCTCGTGAGGTAATCGTTCCCTACGTGTGCATGACGTCAGAGCAAGTCGGCCGTCAAGTCGGACACAAAACTAACCGGCATGCATTGTGCGACGATCGCTGCTCATCGATTCTCCACAGGTCTGGCTCATCTTGAACGAGCCCATGTGTTGTTCTTGCTAGTTTTGGGAGAATAAAATAAATAAAACTTAAATTAATGTCACAAACAAATTCAGATCAATAAAGTATTTCTGATTCTGAGTCTGGTCTGATTAAAATTTGGACAGAAAACAAGTCAGTGTGTTTTGGGTTTAGACGTAATAGACAAATACTGTGATGAGTCAGTGTGGGTTGGATTAATCATTTATTACACAAACATCAGATAATTTTTACTGCAGAACATAAAGCTGAATTTACAATGGTCAGTCTTATGTTGTCATAATTTGAAAAATGTTATCAGTCAACAAAAAAGAAGGAAATCTTCCATTAAAAGTTATACTTAATATGTGTAGATATTGTATATGTTGCTAGATGTTGCTAGACAATAAACTCTTAAGCTATAAACGCTGTCCAGTTACTGATAATATTGAAATTTACAAGAGAAGAGAGACAGAATTCAATACAATAGTCTGTGCATTCCAGTAATTGTTTATTTAACTTATTGTGTGGAAACAACTCCTCAGCCACTCTGTATTAAGGTCTTCACTCAACGCCTTTAGCCTTCAGCTCATCTCTGACTCTGCTCAGGTAGCCAGGGTCAGGATACCCAA